GGTGTGGGTATGTGTTCAGTCCTATTATGATGCTGGAAACATATTTAACCTTCGTTATCCCCTCACCCTTCGATCTTAATTCTTGGACAAGCCATATATCCGTTGAAGCTTATAAGTCAGGACGGGAATTTAGTAGAATGTGTTATAGATATTCCAAATACCAAATTCATCTTTTGTAGAATCGTGATGTAGGGATAATCATGTACGAAGATTTCCTACTCGTTTATTTAAATGCTTACTAAGCTAAGAGTGATAACCGTTTTTATGCCTACATCCTGGACTCAGCTGAGACGGTGGGGTTGGAACCACCTTACTCTTGCCGAGCTGGGGCATGCTCAACATGCGCGGGACAAATAGTGAGCGGGCCTGTCGACCAATCTGATGGCTCTGTCGACAAATAGTGAGCGGCTCTGTCGAACAATCTGTGGAGGGGGAAGGGGAGGCGGAGGAGGGAAGGAGAGGGGAACGGGAGAGGAGGAGGAGGAGGAGGATGATGACGACAAGGAGGAGGAGAGGGAGAGGTAGGGAATGCATTTTTTTGATAATTTTGGGCATAGATTTAATAATTTTGAGAGGTTAGGGGGCTAGAATAAATTTTCCTGTAGGAATTTCAAAGAAAATGGTCTTATTGACTAAAAGGCCGAGAATAAATGCCTTGTTGTCGTCAGAGTTCGTATAAAAATACCAATTTGATATTTTAGCCCGTATATTATCATTTAATCATTGTTTTCTTTGTCATGGTGGTCGTTATTTCCCTTTATTTATTAATTATACAAGAAAGAACTTTTTTTTGAAAAAATAATTGAAAGCGTCGATTACTTTCTATTTTTAAAAAAATAAATCATAATGAAACATTTACAAACTCCACAATAGGAATACCGCCAAAATCCATGGCATTAAAAGTATTTGGATTCAGATCCTCTCCACTACAAAAAAAATAGTGGAGGGACCACTACATAATCACAGCCATTGATTATCTAGTTGATGGTTATGATTTTTTTCTTTTAGTACAAATTAGGAATGAGTGCAATACACGGGGGTATGGTAAGTGTTAGATTTAGATTGTATCATAACCGCCTACTAAATAATCAACATTTGAGATTAAAAGTAGTTGTCTCTCCACTACTTTTTTGTAGTGGAGAGGATCCAAATCCAAAGTATTTGGGTTTACTCATCTAAAAATACAGGACAAATAGAAGTAACATGATCTCCCTCGTCACATGCCCTCATGCATCTCCTCCTGGACCTACGACTCACCAATAAATTTCTTCATTCAGCGGATCCATATATTATTTATTTACATAAGTTATACAGAAAAACTTTTATTGTGGAACCTACTAAATAAACTAATACTATTAAGCCACACAAAACTGATTGTATGAATTCTTCATAATCAAGATTGCAGAGAACGTCAGCTCCGTGGGATTTGAAGTTTCTCTACCAGGGACGACAAAAAATAATTTAAACAAATACAACCGTAGCAACCATGTGCAATCATGTCAAAAGGAGAGGATACAAATATTTACAGAAATTAATTACTTGATGGATGCTGTAAGATAGTGAAGTCTTATATGGTATTTAAGTGTCGTTTAGCCTTTTGTTTTAGGGGTAAGTTCGGCAACTTCTTAAAATTAGGTCAGCTTTGAACCCGATCCAATCAAGAAGTGTTTTTATCGACAAACATCATATCATACTCCCTTTAAAAGCACGAGTTCGGAAATTTTTTTTAGACAAATATACCCCTTTATAGTTTGAACTACCTTATCTATAATCAAATTCTAATTTTCAATGGTCAATATTACCCTTCATTATTTTGAATATTTTATTTATATCTTAATCTATCCTAATCATAATCATATCTTATCCTAATCCTATGTGAACCATGTTTAGCTTAACAATTTAAAAAAACTAATATTAATAAAATATATAAAACATAAAAATGATATTAGTTTGTTAAGATAAAGAAATTACAAATAGATAACATATTATAATACACGAAGTATTGCAAAAAAAACCATAAAAAGTTTTAAAATTACAGAAAAGACCCTGAAAAGTTCAAAATTATAAAAATCATCCAAATGTCTCAAAACTTAAAATAAAAAACATGAAATTAAAAAATTAACATCAGTTTGCAAAGAATTTAAAATTTACAGTTAACACCTCAATGTCTCAAAAATTATAGAAACACCCTCAAAAGTTTAAATTACAGACAAGCACATTAAAATTCTAAAATTTTAAAACTTACAAACAACACAGATGAATTCAAGAGATTACCATGATACACCTAAAATTTTTGACATTTAAATTTAAATTTTTTAATTAACACCCTCAATATCTCAAAAATTATAGAAACACATTTAAAAGTTTAAATTATAAAAAGCCACCCTAAAATTCTAAAATTTGTAAATAACATAAGATGAATTCAAGATATTACCCTTAGACACCTAAAAAATTAAAATTTGCCGAAATTAACCTTCAAAATTTAAAAATCGTAAAAAAAACTCTAAATTTTCAAAAATTTAACTAGCACAAATCAAATTCGTCGATTGGTAGACCGCTGAAATTTAATAATTTTCAAAATTAATCTATAGTTTTAATAATTGTAAAAGACACCTTCAAAATTTTAGAGTTACAAGAAATATACTAACATTTAAAAAATTACCATCAACACATGAAACATAGAATTTACAACTACCAAACTTAAAAGTAATTTTTTTTTAAAAAATCTTTCAATTTTAAAAATTATAAATCACACCCTCAAAGTTCAAAACCACAAAAATGGGCTAAAATTTTAAAACTTGGCAAAGAAAAGTGTAATTGTTTGGTATTTTTCATATATATATATATATATATATATATATATATATATATATTAAAATTTCTAATTTAGGGATTTACTATCCATTTTCAGCATCTAAGAATAGTCTAAGTTGATACTGGTAAACAAAAACAATAAGAATTGATTAAAAACATCCGGTTAATGGATAAAATTTTTAAAAATATTATAGATTAAAAATTATCGGCACTATATAAATTAAAGTAATTTCATATAATTTTAGTAATAAGTTGGGGTAGCCAAAATACATTCGTAACATTAATTGATAGATGTTTAAATCCATAGAAATGATAAAACACTATAATATTATACCTTAGCATTAATTGATTTTAATTTAGAAACTTTAATCTTTGACGTTAATAATATTTATAGGGTAAAAGAATACAAGGAATTACATATGGAGAAACTATTAGAATATTTAGAGATAACTTTAAAAGAATTGAGTTATTTCCATTGCAAATGGGAAAGTGATGGAAATAAATCTAAAATTCAGAAAACGTCAATGAATCACTTGAATTGGCATTAACATAAGACATATCTATTAATGAAGCACTGAATGAGTTACATTAAAAAATAATTTAATAACTTTATCCTAATCAAAGAAAAAATCTCCATGGAAGACATAAGAAAAATTAGTAAGTATTCATAAATTCCATACCATGTTTTTCAAATTAAATATTAATATTATAATCTAAGAGAAATTGGTAATGAATAATGCATGTATTTATTTTAGGTCTTTATGGAAAATAACAGGGATAGAGCAAATGTAATATTATTAAAATACCAGAAATTCTTATTGGATGCACATCAGAAGAATTCATTTTAGAGGAAAATAAAGAGATAGCTTCTAATTTTTTTAAGTAATAAATTAGGAACATAAAGAATTTTATATATATGAAATTAATATTTATTCTCATTGAAATAGAAAAAAATCAAAGTCTATATTTTGAGCAGTTTGTGTTGAACATCATAAGTACATTTGACTTCTTTGTAGAGTTAAATGAGATGATAATAAATTAACGAGCCCAGGAAAGATAATAGCATAAAAAAATACAAAATTAGCATGATGTCACAATTGATGTAAATGATGAAGACAATCCTCTAGAATTATCCGAGAAATGATAAATGATAAACCTGAAGAAGGATTGATCTTAACTCAATAAAAAATAAAATAGAAGAAATAAAAAATAATATTTTCTGAATATTTTATAGGATAGTTTAATTATTTTGAGTGAAATTAGGAATATTTAGAAGGGAGTTTCATGAATTTTTTTAGTACTTTTATATTCTTATGTGGATGTTTTTATCATATAAAAGTATACTAGAGTTAGTATTAATCTTTAATTTATATTTTTTTATGAAGTCTATCAATGATTAGGAATAAACTTCATATTCTCTTTTGCATCGTTTTAACATACTTTAAATCAATCATTTTGCTATATTGGTTTTAAATATTCACCTTCCTTGTATAACACTATTTTAATATTTTTTACTTTGCAATGCTATACTTTCTCAAATAAAGTTTAGTTTCATATCGGTCAAAAATAACATGAAATTCAAATTATTTTTAAATTATATTTGTTTTTTGTCAATTCAAATATCAACATGAAAATTTAAATTGGGTGTATCCCATTTAAACAAACATAAATAAATAATCGGGATGTAAGAGCTTAAAGAAAAAATGAGCACAAACTGCCAAAAATACTTAATCATGATATTAAATCACGTGCATTGCACGTGTGTAAAAACTAGTCAACAAAAATGACCAAGTTTCCTTTCCGCCCATTTGGATTAACATTGTGTTTGGCGTTTCCTTGTGATAGAGAATGTCAAAATGGGGTTAAATTGGAAGGAAGCGAAGTCTCTTAACTTTCCTTCTCTTCTGTCTCCAATCATCGCTCAACTTCTCTATCACAAGCATTTGAGGGAAGGAGACTTCCCTTTTTAATTTCTCTTTAACTCCTGCCATAATGAAATACCGAACATAGTGCCATATTACTAGCGTTACATTATTATTGGGCCTCCATAATGAAGTGCCGAACATGGTTTTGTTCTATTATCGGGCCTCGATGTGGACCAGGATTAGCTGGTCAGTGGTCCCCAAACACACATCGTTCTTTTTTTTTAAAGTTATTTGCCAGGCTTCGTATGGATGATGGATCCGTAACGACTAACGACGTACGCGCATCTCTAACTCATCGAGGAGTCGGCTGTTCAATATTTATCCCCAATTTTTCCAAATCAAATTAAGGAACAAGCCGGTAACTTTTTCAGCACAAAACCAAAAAGAGCTACAAACTTTACGATCGTCATCAAGAGCAGAGTCAGTTGTTCGAGCCGCAGAGATCGATGGCCCTTCGCGAGCTCCAGCGCGATCTCGAGAACCAAGCCAACGCCCTCAGCAAACTCCAAAAAGGTCACCCCCTAAAAACCCTAACCCTAATTTCTCCTCTCTCAGCTCTCGCTCTTCATCATCTTCAATCATGCAGACATCGGCAAAAGCCACCAAGTTCGAAAGCAGTACACAATACAACTCGGCGAGAACGAGCTCGTCCTCAAGGAGTTGGATCTGTTGAATGATAGCGCGAATGTGTACAAATTGATCGGCCCGGTGCTCGTGAAGCAGGATCTCGCTGAGGCCAGGGCTAATGTTCGGAAAAGGATCGAATACATCTCCGCTGAGTTGTGAGTTTTTTTGTTGATCTTGGAAACGATTAGGGTTTTGGACCGTCGAGGGTTTTATGTCTTTTTCTGGTATTCGTTGCAGGAAGAGGTTGGATGGGACTCTTCAGGATCTTGAGGACCAGCAGAATAGCAAGAGGGACTCGGTTAGTATTCTATAAACTTTTTCACTATGAATTAGCTTTATTTGAACCGTGTATGCCCTAAAAAAATTGAAATTTGTGGCACGTAATTTTTTTTATTTTAAAAGTGGTCAGTTGATGATAATTGAAGTGGTAATGAAGAATAATGAATGATGATTTTTCTAAGCAGATGTAGATGCAATTCATGTGTAAATGTAAATTTTGAAAGACTGGAAGTTTGATAAGAGAAGGAGATAAACCACTGTTTTCACGAACACAAATTAGTCGATGGATTCACAAAGATTTGTTAAATGTTAAAAACCCCAGCTGTGAAACTGCTTTTTCATTATCACGCAAATCCAAATATAAAAGGAACATATTATGAGGCCTAGTGAGCCTTACAAGATGAAAGACAATGAACCAAGATCACAAGATGCATGTCTGGTATGTTGGTAATGCTAGCAGACAAAGGGATGAATTCAATAAGAGAGTAGTAGAGTAACTCCGACAAAGAGTAAGATGTTAGGGTTTTCTTTATGCACAATTAGTGGGATGTTTTTATATTGGAGTCAAATTCTATTCTATAATTTAGGAATAAGTAGAAATTCTAACGGGAAGTGCTTGTAGAAGGGCTCTACACAGAATACTATCCTTAAAGAAGAAGTGATGCATAAGTTCTAAAGCCAAGATCAAATACTTGGGATAAAGCTAGCTTTAGTTTTGTAGCATTTATGTAAAGGAAAAGAAGAGTTTCCGAATTTTACTGCAAAAGGGAATGCCTATTTTATAGGGAAATCAACTAAGCCATGAGCTCAATCATCACAATAGAAATGAGGGAAGGAGTTTCTCCAGCTGATCAAATAAACTCTCAATAATCCATCCAGCTATGCACAAAATCCCTTTGAAACTTGAGAAAGAAATCCTCTCTATCTATGCCAAGGCATTTTTTCCAGGAATTGAGAATGGTTAGAATCCCAAATTATAGCTTTGGATCAACATCTACTTGGGATGCATGCAAAACTGCAAACTTTATGATTCACCTATATGCATACAGATGGCATATATAACTGTGCTCTAATCATGATAGCTGAATGCAGTTGTTGGCTATTATCTATAGGCTGTTACTGCTTTGTATGTTTATGCTTATAATGTTGGAAGCTTAGTTTTGATTACCTACGTAGGGACTGCTTGATCTAATGTAAGTTGGTTTAATAGTCTTGGTTTAGCTAAACATGAGATATTTGCATGAAGCTCTCCCAGAAATATAGGAGTTAACATCCATGTGAAAACGGAATCACAGACATGAGTACATGAAAACTTTAGAACATTAGAAATCCTCAAAATCCAATGTCTCATGCTTTATATGTTTATACTTATAATGTTGGTAGCTTAGTTCTGATTAACCATGTAGGGACTGCTTGATTTAATGTAAGGTGGTTTAGTGGTCTTGGTTTAGCTAAACATGAGATATTTGCATGAGGCTCTCCCAAAAACACAGGAGTTAGACACGTCCATGTGAAAACAGAGTCACAGACATGATTACATGAATGCAGAATATTAGAGATGCACAAAATCCAATGTCTTGTGTGAATTCAACGATTTTTCCAGAAACAAATATCTGTGGATTGTGGTAAATGGACCAATCGTGTGATTAGCCAATTAGCTGCATAGCATGCCCTGATATTTGATTTGGGAGGTAGAGGATTAAGATGATATCAACTCCTGACAGGGAGGTAGAGGATTAAGATGATATCAACTCCTGACAGTACACAAAAACTAAATGACTGCTATCAAATTAATATTCAAAAGCTATGGAGGTTTAAGTACTCCTGACAGTACACAAAAACTAAATGACTGCTATCAAATTAATATTCAAAAGCTATGGAGGTTTAAGTCAAATTAATATTCAAAAGCTATGGAGGTTTAAGCAAGTAGCATGGAGAAATCGCTAATTGGCAACAATGGCAATGCTACCTCATAACTAGTTACAATATACTAGCAACCTGATAATAGGTATTAGGTCATTTCTGGTGGCATCTTTCAAGGGTCCATTGTTACCAGGACACACTTGCTATTAGTTTTTTTTAGCTGTGGCAATGGTGTTACTTCAAGCAAACTCCACATTTCATTGTTTGGGGAAAAAATTAAGTAGATAAGGATTTCAGCATGCTGAGTACTAGTAATAATTAATAAAGCAATTTACATGGATGATCACAAATAATAAAGCAATTTACATGGATGATCACAATTAAGTGTAAGGTTGAGCGCTCAGTATGGTTCCCTGAAAGAGTAACATGGTTGAGCTCCATTTTTGTGGGAGCATTCTGACCTACCATAATCAGTGGGATATATTTACTGTATAAGTGTTCTTCATCTAAAATTGTTTGTAGTCAATGAAAAATAAGGCGAGTAGAAAGCCCCAAATAGCTAATAGGATCAAGGATTGATCATCGACATGGTCATGTGGTTGTTTTGTTACCATAACTAGTGAATTGGTGATGTCAAAGTTAGCAACATCATTAACACAAAATCGACAAATGATGATACTTCATAGGAAATTAATAGGCAATGATCACACCATAAAACCTTTGCAAAATCAAGGATTTGTAACACTTTCGTCTCAGGTGTGGCAAGGCTAGGTGAGGTGCCACCCTGGCACTTTGAGACATCACCTGGCCTAGAAACACAACTACTATTTCCAAGAGCTAGGGGACAAGGCTTTTAGCCCTTGTCCCAAAAACACGACACCATGACACTTTCTGTTAAATCTTTAGTTGCACTTGTACGATAGAATGTGCCACATGAATATGATGACGCGTTGGAGAGATGAACTTCGGTAATTCTGCCAATAATGGAAGGGCCATTGGTATAGATACTTCTTAAGTACTGAATCTTCAAGGGTCTTATGATCAATCCTTCCATTTGAGCACTAGAAACATATTATAGTCAATGTTTTGTCCATTTTCACTATTGCCTCATTGAGGAACTCTAGCTACTTATACGTTAAAAGCAATGTTACAGAAGGCGCCAGACAAACTAGGCGTTTGAGCCAGCACCTAGATGCCTAGGCGTTTGGCTATTTTTAAAAGTATTTAATTATAATAATTGATAAAAATATGTATTAAATTCATATAAATTTGCCCAAAAAAAGAGAGCAATATTAGATCCATAATAAACCATGCATGTTTAAATACTAAATAGCCAAAATAATAACTAATAATGTTATAGAAAGCGCGAGGATGCTTAGGCATTGGACCTGACGCCTAGAGCTTAGGAGGTTTTCTATTTTTATTTTTTAATTACAATATTTGATAATAAATGTTAATATTATAGAAAACTTAGGTGTCGGATTGATGTCTAGGTGGATTTTTTTTCATTTAAGTGGTGGTCTAGGAGGTTTTGCTGAAGGTCGGAGGATATAGTGAAGGTGTTCATATTTAGAGATTAAAAGGGAGGTTAGAGGGCATGGATGCTACAACACAGAAAATCACGATCAAGACCTAAAGTGTGTAGTCCACGTAAGCAGATAATGCTCCCTTAAATACTGCTGGAATCCATGTGGGTAGGTTAGGTACCGCCGAGGCGCTAGGTGCTAGTTAGGCGGCCTAGGTACTACCTAGGCATATGTCTAGGCGGACTAGGCGGAGGCTTTTTAAAACAGTGGTTAAAAGTAAATCTCAGGATCTAGGCGCTTTGCAATGCACCATACTGTTTGATATAACAGAAGGCAGTATTGACTTCCTTAGTTCAAGCAATGATTAGTCTGGTTAACTAATAGTGTGGGTAGTCAAACGATCTTCTTCATATCTTTTTTCTTTGTTCCCACATAAAAAATATATCAAGTGGACTTTAATATGTAGCTCGTTGTTTGACATTATCCATAAAGTATGATCAGTGACCTGTAAACCAGTCTTTAATGTGATGTACTTCTGATACCTAGCACAATGGTAAAGGATATAATTTCTAATTTCCTTGAAAAATTTTCCCTAGTAACAGTATATATCATTTAAAGCCAAATTTGCTTTACTTCCTTTTAGGTCTTGAAGCTGCAACAGAAGATTCAAACTCTGCAGGCTGGTAAATCTAAGGCCTAGGTTTCCTGATCAGCAAATCCTTCAGTGGCACGTTGTGCACTCTGTTTACGGCTCCATATTCGTTTTTTGACCAGGGTTTTGTTTCTTCATGTAAGAACACATGATATATTTGCTAGAACGTTATTGTGTATCAATGTATTTCAATCTATGGAAAGGTTAGTGGACTGTTTATTTCATAATATTAATGTGGGTTCTTTTTCACCCTCCCTTTTTGACTCGTGGATTAAATGAGATTGTTGACCTAAACCAATTTCACCAACTAGAGCGTTCTTTATCATGAAGGCTATGCAAGAGAAGTTTAATTATGCAGGAAAGCATTTCCCTGATTATTGTTGTTGAGATGATAAGTATGACTAGTTTATTCACAATTCGTTAGAAAATGCAAATTTTGTGACTTTTTGGACCGACGTATTGTTGAAAAATTAAAACTGTTTTCTAGTCTTAATTCACGACTGAGGGTTCGGTGTTCTTTACCATAGTTTCTTGTAATTTTCCAATCTTTTGATATTTTGATGCCGCGGTAGCAAGAACTCCTGTTGCGTGTATATTAATTTGAAAATTTGCTCAGCTGCTACAGATAGGATATTTGGTGATGTCCAAAGCAAAATGTTGAGTCTGAGAGATATTACAGTCAAGTCCGTGAGAAAGAGATGAACTACCGATGAGTCGATTTTACTTTTTCAACTTTTGTATGGTTAAATAATGAATCTTTAATAATTTTAGTATACATCAGGTCTATATGTTCTCTGAAAAGAATATTCTCCCTAATACTTAATGGCAACAGTAACGCCTTAACGGAGAACATGTTCTCTGAATCTCTCAGACATGCTGCCAGTGAAACTAACGGGCATGAAAGCGTAAATAACTTCCTACATATCACATATCAGAACTGAAATAAACAAAATAATTTTCGCGTAAAAAGCCTGCAGAATGTTCAGGAAACCCGAACCGGATTGGGATCCTCTCTTAACGAGAGGCAACCTAAGATTTCCTAATGAGATATTGGTCTTTAATATATCAATCAAAGGTCATGATCTCCTCATGAGAAAAAATAAGAAGGGAAATAGAATGAGATTTTGGCATTTGATTGATAAATCAAAGACCAAAATTTTTTTATAAGGAGATATTAGAAGCACTATTTATCTATTCTTCTATACAAATAGGAGGATCAGAGAATTCCTGTTCATGCTACAGTAAATTGAACAGTAATTCTCTCTCCTCCCATTTGCATTCTGAACTCGAGCCCACCTCCAGCTTCTCTCAGATAAGCGATTCAAATTTCAAACTTTCCCCTTCTCTCGGAATCCCCACACCTCACTCTCTCTCCCCTCTCTCTCCAGAAGCAACCCCTTCTCTCGGAATCCCCCCACATCCCTCTCTCCTCTCTCTCTCCAGAAGCAACCAGAAGCAAGAAGAGGGGGGAAATGGAGAAAAATCAAAGCAAGAAAAACCCCTTTCTCAGGCTTCTCACCATGGACAGCCTCTACCGCCTCCACGGCTGGAACGTCCGAGAGACCCCGAGGAGGGTATTCGACGCCGTCCTCTTCAGCAACGAGCTCGACATTCTCGCCATCCCTCCCTCCCTCTCTCTCAGTTCGCGGATCCCGAATCAAAACCCAAAAAAAAAATAATGGCGAGCAAGCTCCAGCGTCTCCTCTCCTCTCTCCTCGAGTCTCCTATGCCAAAATTAGGGTTTCATAACGATCACCAATCTCCCGTGATGTTCGCATCTAAGAGGAACCTAAGCTCATCAACGCCGCAGCAACCTTCAGAGAAATCGAAGGTCGATTCTCCTCTCTCGCCTCCTCTATCGAACGATGGAGGAGTCGGTCTCGATGAAGATAGGACGAAGGAAGGAGAAGACGGAGGAGAGGACGACAGTGGCATTTTCATAAATAGAGCAACATGGGGCCGCGGCCAACTCGATTTGGGGATTGGGTGCGCAATGCACAGTGTCCTGATTTCTAACTGAAGAACCACGAAGGTGATCTTTTCTTATTTTTGATATTTGTTTTAGAAGAAACGTGAATTGAGGTGTTATGTAAATAAATTGCTGTTTTTAATATATCACAGGGCTCGCAGTCTCAATCGTTCTTTACATCGGCGCTCTCGAGCATGGAGAAAGTTTACTTGAGTAGAAATTTTTTTTAATGCTTGATTCCATTACTGCTATACTATGTTTTTATTTTTCTAATTTTGAAGGTAGATGGTCATGGGATTGATTCAATTGCGACATTCTTCTTGGATTTTGGTTATACTCAACGAGATGAACTGAGGTTTCCAAGAAAAAAGTTGAGAGCTTTGTGTGTACAGTAACAAATGTAGCTTGCATTTGCCTAGGATTTTTATATCGGAGCTTCTTGTGGATGAGTTGAGCTCTCAAAGTCAGGTACTTGCTCTCAACAAGGGCAGATTGTTTGCAATTTCAGTTTCTAATTTCCTATTTTTCTGTTCAATAATGGCAATTACTTATGCATGTAGGAAATAATTAGAAAATATGTTAAGATTTATGGAAATGGAAATAAATATGCGGCCCTAGCAAGCACTTTGGGACATAGCTTGGGAGAAACCAATATTTCTTCTTTGCTTCAGGCTCAAATTGATTGATTAAAAATTTCCAGATGAGAATGGAAGAATCAGTCATGTATCAACTTCTTTTACGGTTAAAGTAGCAAATATTGCCTTTTTTTAAGTTTTGGTGTAAGCTTTAGAGAAATGTTAGTCAAATAGTTTCATTGTAGACTATGTTAACACTCTTCAACTAAATTTGTTAATTATTACACATTTTTAAAAGTCGTTTTTATATATTATTTCAATAGCCTTTATTTTTTTCCAATACATTATTGGATCATTTCAAATGCTCATTTTTATGTATGCTCAATTGTTGAGGGGAAATAAACCTAATGTTAAATGTTTCTTGCCAAGTGGATCTTACATGTTGATGTTATCCAATCACAATTCATTATATTTTATTTACTAATTGGTTGTTACAGTTTGTTACTAAGTAGCTATGTGAGTTAGTGATTGAGAGATAATTGTTGGAATTGTATTTAAGTCTTCTTCTGAAATCTCTGATAATATTAGTAGCGCTTCGATTTGCAATTCATTATAATTTATTTACAAATTGGTTCTTACCGATTTTTTGTGGTTTATTCCTTACTCACTTGCTTCGATTTGCAGTTAAGGAGATCAATTTGAGAATCTTTATGGAGATTTATCTTTCTCTTAGTTTTTAGTCTAGAACGACTCAATGCTCACCTTTAAATCTCGAGGTATTTATTTTTAGGGATTTAGGGGTTCAATCAACAAATTTTGATTTTTATACTTTACTCAGCAAAATTTTATTGCTTATTTAGGTAGTATGTTCTTTTAGGAACAAGGGAAAACCACATTATAACTTTAATTTGATCCTTTTAGTGTTGAAAAACTGTAACTAACTTGAGAGCTTGATTGGAATGAATTGATATTTTTTTGTGATTGGAATTATTCGCTATTTGTACGAATTATCTTTTTTTTGCCGTTTTCTAATTTCAGGTTTTAAAGATTTTAATCATTTTAATTGATCGACTTATGTTGTGTGTTTAGTTATCCTCTTTGCTTCAGGCTCAAACTGATTGATTAAAAATTTTCAGATGAGAATGGAAGAACCAGTCAGGTATCAACTTTTTTTACGGTTAAAGTAGCAAGTATTGCCTTTTTTAAAGTTTTGGTGTAAGCTTTAGAGAAATGTTAGTCAAATTAGTTTCATTGTAGACTATGTTAACACTCTTGAACTAAATTTGTTAATTATTATTCATGCTACAAAAGTCATTATATTTGTATTTAAGTCTTCTTCTGAAATCTGTAATAATATTAGTAGTGTTTCTAGCTTTTTAGGAACTATGAAATGCTACTTCTCACGTAAATGCTGCCACCGCAACTCAAAATTTGTGTTATAAATTAGTATAATTGTGAAGAATGTAATGTGAATTATATTTTTCCATTCTTTCTCTTCTTTACTATATAAGAATTGTATAACTATTCTCTATAAGAATTATCAAAGTATGTCTTTTATAGTAATCAGTCTTTTAATTTGATATTTGTTGATTGACCTTCACAAATTGCTCATAATTCTCTATCCCAAGATTTCCTCTTTGAAAAGAAGAAAACTGCAGGTACTTTCTCTGATTTTATTTTGTGTGGGTTTTTTGCAAATTCAGGCGGAGTTACTGCCAGTTATTTTGAGTGGGTTTACGTAAACTATTACTTGACTAGCATCATCTCTGTGTATTATAATGAAGGCTTAAAGCAACTTCCTCAAAGCAATCTGATGTTTCACTTTCACATTCACTAGAATTTTGTTTCCTAGAATTTTACTTTATGGAGTTTATATTTGCTGATCACTTATCCCTGTTCTACATTGAATATCAAATTGATGTCCTTCTCTCCTGCACTTCCATCACTAGCTTTTTTTTTTAAATTTTCCTCCTTTGCTAGACCTGAGATTTTGACAACACTGCAGTGTTTTAATATAAATTTCCATGAAAGTTGTAATCAAATGCTTGTGCTGATGAGAAACATAACTGAAAAACTATTGTGCTTTAAACTAATAATACAGATTTCAAACAATTCTATGGTGATTGGTGATGAATTTGAGCATAGTGATTGAAATATAAATCATGGTGATGAATTTGAGCTAAATTCTAATTTTTTGCGCCTTAGATTGTTATTTTTGGATTATTTAGTTACTTCTTTTAGCATACTGAAGATGCTAATTTCTATTTATAATGATTAAATTTGATTTAGCTAATCTTAATAGTGCCTAATTCTGATCATATACCTAAACCTTATGTTTAAACTTGATTTAGGTAATATTTTTTGCTGAACAAAATGTGATTTAGGTAATATGTTTAAACTTGCAGCAAGATGAGCAAGTAGATTCATCATCTTCTGATTCTTCTTATACTCATCCTGAACAAAATGTGAGCTTTTTATATATACTTTTTGAAAATTTTGTTTTTTATTTATTTTGAAAATATTCACAATCTCAAGGATATCCCAGTTGTGATCGTGTCATCTGAGAATGTGCCTTCAAGTATCAACAGGTGAACACAAATAAAAAAATTCCTTAAAAATTCATTAAAATTGCTGGATTATAATTCCTTAAATTTAGTGATCATAACCCTTTGTTGAACAGTATTGATTGATTATGAGGATTTTATGTCCTGATTGATGATATTTAGTGATGGAAATTGCAGGTGGATTCAGATCAAAGTCTTCTTTGATGATGTATTGATTTTGTCATATCTGTTCTGTTTACTTCAGATCAAAGTCCTCTTTTTCTTCCATAGGCTTCTGACTCCAAAGACCTCGAAGACAAAGACGACAATGTATCTCTTCTCAACTCATTTTCCAATTTATTTTGAATTTCTTGGAACATAATGTAATTTTTGAATTTTTTTGATTTTCAATTATTTTATGCTTAATTATTTAGAATTGAGTTATTTGTAATTTTTAGGTTGAACACTCTTAGGGGTAGATTGATTGAGTAATTATATTGTTAGATTAAGTGATATTTAGTGGAATGTGTAGTTCCTTCAATCATGTTAGCGCTTACAGTCAAAATAGTACACTCTCAAAAGAACCTAGAAAAAAGAGTTGTTGCATAGAGAGAAAGAAAAGAGTAAATGAAGCACAAGAGACTTATGCGACATTGGAATTCTGGAAATTCTATGGTTTATCTGATTACAAGAAATGTGAAGCCTTAATTACTTTCTCAGTTTACTTTCATATTTATTTCTTAACAGACAAATTATGTACATATCATCCCTGCCCAAATGTTACAGTATGTATGGTAGATAATATTTTGCATGAATTTAAACAACTAATGTACGTGTATGATCATAAGCTAACTGAAGTCAAATTATGTACATATCATCCCTGCCAAAATGCTGATTTCGTTACTGAAGTCAAAATGAATTAAGATAATGCTTAAAAAAAGAAGCCTGAAACAGTTTGCTGGTAAAACTTGAAGAACAAAAGAGTTGACATTTAGCCCTTTTCATTAGCAGTATTATGCTTTTATTGAGGAGAAAATAAAGATTTCTTCTGCCGTAGTTGGCGAGAGAATGAACTATTAATATGTGCTCAGATCTGAATATTTCCTCTAAAGTAATAAACTATTGATATGTGCTCAGATCTGAAGATTTCCTCTGTCAAAATTTTGTTCATTTTCTACTTATTTCTCTTTAACATTAATAACAAATCTTTGAAAAGACACATTAATAAAGAGATTATTATACTTAGTTGATGATTTATGGTAGTCAATTTTAATATTTATTATTATAATTAGTTGATGATTTATGGTAGTCATCAGTTTCATATTTTATAATTTTTCTGTTAGAATCAGTGATAATGAACTTCTATGTTTTCAGGTGACGGAGAAGGTCGTTAAGAACATCTCGGAGTAGGAAATTTCCACGCCTACATAATCTAAGACCCCATTTAAGCCTGTAATTGTTCTATTTCAGGTTTTGCTCTTATTTCTCTTCTTTTTACTGGCTTTGTTTCTTTTTCCCCCCAAATGATAAATATACGATATTATAATGTTTGTCTTTGAGACACGATATAGTTAAGAGGATAGTTTGCATTATTTTGTATGATGAACTAAAATATGCATCAAGAGATAACTCCTTCGTAAAAATTCATGATTGGTTGTCACTCAAGTGACTGATTCATGAATATATGTTATATTGAATGTAGAGTTTTGTTGCTATATTGTTTTATTAGGCCATTATGTGTGAGTTGTTGGAATAGCATTGTTATATTTGCACCATACAATATTATTAGGCATCAATTTTCCAATTGCAACTTATTTGAAGGTCTTCATAGTTGCTAGCTATAAGAATAATTTTGTATAAAAATAAAATTGAGATCAAACAACATTAACGAATTGTAGAAAAGAGGCGAGGGCCGTGCTTGGCACGGGGTACACACTAGTTTATTAGGAGAGGATCCTAATATACTCGAACCGATCGCAAAACTCGGACTCGGTCGCTTTGCGTCAAAACCGCTCGAGTCCGTTCGCGTCAACCCGACGCTCCCCCTTGCCCCTAACTATATAACCAGGACTCGACGAAGACTCAAACCGAGCGAGGAGATCCGGAGAGCAGGAGAAGAAGCGCGACCGCCTTTTCCCCCTCGAAATGGAAGAAACCCAAAGCCAAGAGCTAGGGCTAGGGCGGCGATCTCCATCTCCTCCTCCTCCTCAATCCCCAGAAGAAGCCCTAGCCCCTTCTGAGGGCGCAGAGGATCAAGAATCTTCGGCGTCGCCGGCGGCGGCGGCGGTGGCGGCGCCCTGCTCTGCGTCGCCATGCATTCATGCGCGCAGCTGCTCGATGAGGGCGTGGATGAAGAAGAAGGTACGGCGACGGAGGAATCGGTAGAGGTTCCTGCTGTGCTTACCGATGATCTCCGTGACAAAATCGTTCGCCAGGTCATTTATCTTTTCCTTATTTTGATCTGCTAGCTTTCTTTATTTGAGTTATTTGCTTATGCAACTTGATCACCATAATTAGGGTTAGGGAGTTCTTTGACTATGTGGATTTTGAGATAGTACAAAACATTAAAAGAGTTAATCTTGTAAATGAAGCGGTGCTGGGGAAAGGCTTATACTCAAGGAGATGTTCATCAGAGACACGAAAAATCTACCTAATTTTTTTCTTATTGAGTCCCTTTATGTATTTATTGTATTCAGTGATCCATATTTACATCTTTCTAGTTTTGCAGGTTGAGTATTATTTCAGCGATGAAAATCTACCTACAGACAAGTTCATGTTGACGCATGTGAAGAAGGATAAGCAAGGATTCGGTAACTGATATTAACCACCTATATTGATCCAATTTTATCTGATAATAATTGACACTTATGTAGCTGTTAGTCCAAACCTCGCTTTCGGGTAACAGATATTGAATCACATTTAGTCATCATGCTATCTCATAAATGCAAAATACACATACACAGTAGCCAAGTAGGATTTGCTTTTCTCTGCTACCGAGTTGCATAGTTATCTTGTAAACTTTTTTAAAGCAAATCAACACAACAAACACCTCACCCACAATCCTCTTGCCCACTTCCGAGCAACAAAATGGAAAAGGATTAAAGAGTAGAAGGAAAATAAACCACAGGGCACAAAATGGAATAATAAAGATATATACAGGGTAAAAAAGATAACATAATGTAAGTTCTTTTTTCTTCTCCATTCATATAAGTTGTTCTTTTTTCTTTGTTTGGCTTTTCGGATATATATATTTTTGCAACTGTCTAGGTTGTGAAACCAGAACTGCTGACAAACTCCTAATTGTCAATGCTATAGTTGCTTGCGTCCTTGGCGAATCTTTCCTCTTTGGACTTGTAGTTGTATGTGTGCATACATTTATGCATTTGTGCATATCTACATGTGTGTTCTGCATGTGTGCAATCCAAGTGCTTGCACTAATTGACTAACATAAACAGAGAATAGGGATGGAAGTGATGATTAAAGCAGGTACTTATGACAGATACCATATCTAGATATCTCCTGGTGCGGCTATTTTATAGTTGGCCAGAGTATATAGTGCTTAACTAAATTCTCCTGGTTCAGCTGCTTTATTGTTGTGCCTAGTGTCTAGTTGGTTCTGACTGACTAAGCAACATTATGCCATCTGATTCTCCCTTTTCTCATGTATGCTTATTGATATTGGTCACTAGGAATTATGTTTCATACAGAATATGTAATTATAATGATTTTATTATCACATGAATAACTATTATGTAATATAGAATTAGGATATTGGTTAAGAATGACTATTTGGTCAAGTTTGATTGCATATATTGCAAAGTATGTGCTAGTAGTATCTTGTCTCTTTCACCAGGGGATTCTCTCTGGTTACGTTTTCCTTACTCCCATTTTCTTATCATTCCTTCAAGCATCTATTACAATTTTGTTATATTAAATTTATGGCCATTTTGTCCAAAATCCAAATAACATGCTACAGGCCATTCTTAACGATGACCATTGGTCCAGGCAGATAGATTAATGAGTTTTTTTCGTGAAGCAAACACTTTATTCAGAGATTTTTCTGATACACCCACCACACTTCTGCACGTGCCTATTGTTTTTAAACTAAGTCTAAATTCAGTTTGTTCTCTAAATTTCTTTGGTACAAGATATGCGGTGGGTATTTCCATATTTGGGTGAATGGAAAGTTTGGTAGGGGGTAATAGTTATTATTCAAAATAATGGGTACAAAACAACTAAATATGTTCAGTCAATACTGTTGCAAAATTTTCAACTAGATCTGCACCGAAGTGACGACGACCAGAGTGAATTGCTCAAATTTGGCCGATTTGGCTGGTTTAATTGCCGTTTAACAAAGCTCTTCTGATTCCTACATACACCTAACATTTTAAAGACAGCAAAATCTATTAGTCATCTTAGATAATAAACTTTGTGTCAATCTTTTAAGTTATTTAGCATATCCTTCTTGGCTGTTGCAGTTCCTATTGTCGTCATTGCATCTTTCAGAAAAATGAAGAGACTTGTTAGGGATCTCTCTCTGATAGAGGAAGCACTCAGGACATCATCACAGCTTGTAAGTTTATACAAGTTTCTGAATGAAATCTCACTTATTTACACTTTTCGTCCTACGCTTACTGGAGAGTAGTCATTCTGGAAGCCTATACCGGGAGTGAGAAATCTGTATTCAGGATTCTATCATGCTGATTGCTAGCTATCTCCATTACTAGATATACCTTCTACCTTATATGCAGGTTGTTAGTAAGGATGGGAGAAAAGTGCGAAGATTACACCCGCTTCCAGTTTCTGAAATAAAGGATTCAAAGGTATTCCTTTTTTCTAGTTTTTCCTTTCCTTTTATTTTTCACCATTTGATATTGGTTTAGTGTTTAACCTTGTTATCCTCTTCTATCAGTTATGCACTGTTATAGTGGAAAATCTGCCTGATGATTACTCAACAGATAATCTAGAAAAAATCTTTGCAAAACTTGGCAAGTATGTTTGTTCTTTCTTCTTTACCTTGATGTTTCATTAATGAAGAAGTTGCAAACTTAATGTGATTCTTCAAATCCAGGGTTTTGAACATTACCGTTCACGACCCACATACTGCAGAAGATTCAAAACTGATGAAGAAGACCAAAAAGGCATTCAGTAGTAAGGTAACTCTTAGTGTTCCATGAGTTGAGGTGCTATTTGTAAAAAAACTTTGCACAATATCTGTATTTCTGCAACATCATTGCTTTAAATATGCTGATTTCATATAGCTTTTTTTTAATTCAACACACAGTAGCTAGCTACCTTATAATAGCAGGTGATATCAATACTAAATCTGCATAAATCTATCCTTGTAACTTTCATCTTTGGTGGATTTCACCTTTGATTATGTTTTCCAAAACAAGGTTCATATAAGGTTAATTCATTGGTCCAATCACATTTGATACTAGGCTAAATATAGGTATACTTACAGAAGCACAAGGATGATTATTGTTTTGATTGTTGTTTGCTATTGTTTTAATTGTTGTATGCAGATACTAAGTTTTGAGCCCCTTGGTTTTGCAGTTACATGCTCTTATTGAGTATGAGACTACCGAAGCAGCTGCAAATGCTGTGAGTTTTTGTATTCAATTTTTCTTTTTTTATTTATAACCTTTGAACTTCTACTATGTGAGTAATCAAACCAAAACCGCTCATCTTTGAACATACTCAGGTGGCTGCTTTAAATGATGAAAAGGATTGGCGAAGTGGCATGCGAGTCGAGCTTCTACATAAAAGAATGGTAATTTTTTGTGGCACTCTCTTCCTTATGTGGACGCTGGGTGCTTCCTCTCTCTATCTCAAAGGTGTCATTTCTTCAGGGGAAGTATGGGCTCGTCCAAAGAGGTAAGAAGGAAACTTTGCCTGAGAAGGGCACAGATAATCAGACATCAGAGAAGCCTCCAAATGGGCAGAAGTTGAAATATGCTGACCGTCAGGATGAGAATGCTGAAAAAGAGGTTAGTAATTCATGGTTATTAATATGCCTTTTGGATTGGAAGTTGGTGAAATAATCTCATTGGTCTTTCTATAGATATTTTAGACTTGCGCCTTCCACATTTTATGAACTTAGATGATAGTCATGCTTTAAGCATTTAGAATAGTGAGAACCAAATGATTACTGTTATAGCTAGATTGGCAATTGCAGTCCATTTTTACTCTTCCAATTGGTACTTGGTACCATACAGAAAGAGCTACAATCCACTAGTAAAGCAAAGGATTCAGACTCTTTTTTGTAAACTTCACAAATTATACCTCTTTTTCAGCTTTCAATTATGAATTTTGAGTTGGACATGTTCTCACCATATAGCACTGATATAAGATTTGGTAAACTTACAAAACTTAAATATTCGAAATTTGGACATGCTAGTTATAGATTTTATGTGCCATACTAGGAATGACATGGAATTTATTATTATTATTTCGTATAAAAAAGAAGAAACTGAGTGTATGATTATCTGACTACAATATAATTATTTTCATAGGATATGATAAATGTGTTTTCATCTGAATGAATTAAGTGGCGTCTTGACTTTTTAACTTCTTAATCTTTCCATGAAGGGCCTTATTTACCATGTTTAGTATAAATTATTATTCGAAATATGCTTAATCGTTCCATGAAGGAGTTTGTGTATCTTGTTTCATTTAAATTATTGCTCTGAATTACTTTTTGAGTTTTTTAGGAAAAGAATATATCTGACATAGAGAATTAAAGAAAATCATATCCTAGTATGTGCTAACATATCAAAGAAGTATTAATAGTGTCAATATGCATATAGGAAGTGTCAAAGGAGTCCAACATTGAAAATAATATATAAAATTTCAGTTCGCGTCTGTGAAATCTCTTGTAAAATATTTCATTATCCCACTTAGAAGCATCTTGTATGGAGTGGTCTTGTAAAGAATGTACCTGATAAATCAACAAGCTAGCAGCATGACCAAGAGGGCCTGACATTAAAATTTGCTACATAATACCCCCTACTCCTATTATTTATGATTTTATTTCCCCTAATTTCCAATTTTGTTTTCTGTGCTATTTAATTTAGTGGAGGAAATGAACCAAAATATAACCGGATGGATTCATGTAGCCAACCCTGAAATTTTTGGGATTTAGGCATTGGTGTTGTTGCTGTGATTTTCAAGAAAAATGTGTTTTCCATTGTGCTAATTTTTCTTCATTTATATTGGACAAACGGAAGTAGCGTTCAGTTATTCCATCTGTTTTGCTGCCACTATTATACTTGTTGAATATGTTACTTGCATACTGAACAATGCATGATGTATTTTGAAATATCCTCCTGATATTCCCTCTACATATAGGACGATGAGCATTTTGCTGGTGGTAAGGGCAAGTGCAGGAGTCGATACCGAAGCCGAGGATGGGGCCCGCAAAATGCAACTGGGCAAGGTATCTTACTAGTTATGCTTATTTGTTTAATTGTGTTCAGACTCTTCTGTCTTGTTCGTATCTTTTCGAGGATTATAAATTGCGTGACTGGGAACCAACTTGGTTTCCCATCTTTCTTCCTCCAACCGAAAAAAATAAAAAATACAAAAATAAAAAAATAAAATACAGGCTTTAATATGATCATATAGAATTTATTCTTATTGAAGACTGGATTTCTCCGAATCCTGATGAAAACATGAGGATTTCATTATAATCATCTCCTGTTTTTATCCTGTACTTGTTATTCCATTATGTAATGGCAAAAATTGTCACCTCCATTTTCTCAGGGGAATGTCATTACCAAGTCTCCTTTAATTTCGGTCTTCTCGTCATTTTGTTCTGTTAGCGGTGAATTTCTTTGATGTTTAGTCATAACTGATAAAGCCATCACATAATTATTTTGGATTGTATTGCAGACGAACTTGAAAGTGAGCAGTAGATTCTAGGAAAATAAAAGGGAGGAACTCTCCCTTAGGGTGGGACTTGTCCAACTTATTATTAAAATAATACTTCTATTCATACTTTTGTAAATATTTTCTATCCATACTTTTGTAAATATTTTCTATCTCCACCTCCAAAAATCTTAAAAAAAGAAGAGAAAAAAAAGGAAAGACGTGCTTTGTTTAACTTACGCTATATTTCTAACTTTTTACTGCCTGTTTCCAGGTCATGGACAGGTTCCTACTTCTAGCAATGGTGTGAACAAACCGCCTCCAGGTCCTAGGATGCCAGATGGAACAAGGGGTTTCACAATGGGACGTGGTAAACCTGCCATTTCTGAACCTAATCAGCTTGGTGCATAAAACCCATAATGAATGTAAGAGTAAATTTCAAGAGAAGGCTTTCGTCTTAAAGTACTTCATGTTATACCTCTATATTTTGTATATTTAAGTGTTGTGGATGACAAATGATTAGAAACATAGCACTTAGTTTGTGCATTACCTTTTGGTTTGGGATTAATGAAGTTCACGAGTCTTGATATGTTATTATTAAACAAAACTGATGAATTTCAGCCATATCTTATGACTCTGAAGTGTGTAGTTCATGTTATTTTCTTAAGATATATCTTAGCAAAGCGGTTCTTGTGCATCATCTTATATTAGGTGATGAATCATTATGCAAACCTGCTAATTGACTTGCATTATCTTCTGCCAAGTAAAATTATTGCTTAGCATATATGAATATCCAAAAAAACAAGGAATTGATGTTTGGTGATTTCTATCTTCCTATTAATTTTATTATCTATCATATATTGCTGCAAAAACTTTCCCTATCTTTTTTCTCTTCCCCCCAAAATTTCACTTTTGTGTTTGCTGCCATCTTCGGCTGCCTTTCCCAATCAAGTAGCAAGTCTAGACTTTATTGATCAATACCATTTTCTTTTTCTATTGAGCAGCAATATGCTTGGGTATAGGATATGAGATGAATACATGTCACAATAGGTTAAAGGTTTGCTACTTTAGATGATTTGAATGTGTAATAGGGACCAGTAGGTGGGACAGTTGGGAAAATGATAGGATCTTCGTTAGCGGAACAATGAGGATTAAAGATAGGAAATGAACATACCTGTGCACAATTAAAAATGACGACTCGCTAATTTAACCAGGAAGATGGTCATTAGCATAAATGAATGGAAGAAAAAGATTCATGTAGCCAACTATAAAAGTTCATGACAAAGTTCTGTTGTGGCTGTTTTGTTGTCACTTGAGGATTTTGGAACTGAGCTACCAACAATTGGGGTGAGAGTACCACATAGATAAGTAGGACATGACATAAACATATACTTCAATGGCCTCACTTCATGATGAGTTGTGCTTGAAGAGTCTGCAAATAAATGGAAGATTAGGTTGGCAAAGATCAAAATCTACTATCTGATAACCTTGCTATAGAATTACTCCTAAATATAATGTACAAAGAAATACATTAAATCGATAGCATATATGGTTGGCAACAATGAATATATTATATTTGCAGTGATAATAGCCCAGTGATATTCAATCTTGATATGCTTGGTTGAGAAACCTCACAATGTAGCAGTGTGGATAAAGTTTTTAGTTGTCAAAGAAGAAAGATATGCTGTGGCACAAGACAAAGAAATATCTCCATATAACTCGTAGGAACAAATCACAGAATTTTGACGACGGTTCCGGCTATAGTATGGTATCCTCATTTTACCAGATTAATCGTAAGCGATCTGAACATTAGGTCCAAGGCGAAGTCCTGTATAAGATGTTACTGCTGTTTACAAAGGATTGTTGTGATAGATAGTAATAAGCACAGAGAAAGGTTATGGGTTTAACTAGTAAAGGAAAAAGTTCAGACAACTAGTTGATAAAATCTAAGTAAGATAGCCAATGAGTTGACAGTTGACACATATAAGAGCCAGAAGATCTGTGACTTTTTTAGAGGTGGTAAAAACTACTTTTAAAATTTGTTACTGGGGAGATGTGCATGTGAACTTTCATTTGAGATTGTACTAGTATTCAAGTTTTGACTGAACATTATACATTTACTTAAGTGCATGTATGTTTGTACTCATGATCTACATTCTGTCCGTATGTATACAGTTGATATGTCACTAGTTGGCTGAGGTAGACCCACAAATCCACCTCCTAGAATTTACCTTTAGATGTGTGTATCTGTGTCCATGCACGTATATACAGGAAGTTATTGGCTATTAAAATGCAAATGGTGTACTTAACTTCCATGCTAAAAAGCATTGAAATTGCACTTTAAACTTTTAGGAGAAAAAGATTAAGAAAGGAGTAAGTCCATACCAATGGCCAAGAGACTACAAATGTAGACTACTTATATATGTAGGAATAAGCAGATCATATCTAATAATGTACCATAGGATGTATAAATCTTTGATGGCTGAGAGTGAAATTTACTCGGAATTTTTCTCACAATAGATGATGCATCTTAGAGGATAGGAGCAAGGGTTGGAATGTAGAGTTTCCCAGCTCATCAGATGTGGAGCTCGCTGTGTTTTATGAGTTGTAAAATGTAGGAGCAGATCTTCTAAAATATGTTTACTAAAAGGACAAATACCATTAGAAGCCAGGAAGCATGGGATTTTACAAACAGAAGGTTCTATGATTACGGCTGGTGGTTTTTCTCAAAAGAAAATAAAAAAAATATGGCTGGTGATGATGCCATTTATTGATGACCATGATTATACAAAATTCTAATAGATGATTAGAGAGAGCTTGAACAATACAATTGTACAGTCATAAAAATGTAAAACTAGCAAGACAGAGAGATTCTCATTGTTAAGCTTAAATTGCTTCTGAAGAGTTCTTTTCTATAAAACATTCTAGTTTAGTGCCGCAGAAGACCATGATACGTAAATTAAAATTCTGACTGAGCTGAAGACTAACAATGATTCACGTGGATGAACGAAACTGCAGAGGATAGACTTTCGGACACAACCATGTGATACAATTTCATGGAGACTGACTAAACTAGCTCAAACTTGTTATGACACTCGACACATTGGTTCCAGTTCCATCATATTCATCCCCACATAGAAGGACCGATATGCATGTGGATAACCAACTCCTTGCCTCAAGGACCCTACCCTGTGCATGATCTCTTTCATTGTCCATGAGAATAAAAGTCTTGTGTCTTATTTTTTCTGCTCTTTTTACCTTTTTTATTTCAAATTCCTACTGAAGAAAAGGTATGATGGTTCTCTTTAGGGAGCGTGCTAAGTTATCAAAACTCATGTGACGTTAAGCTGTTCATCTCTAATCCTAGATTTAATTACTCTGTTATTATATATTTGGAATGGCTCCACTCGTTTTCCCCTTGCTTTATCAATCTTTTGGAGCTATCCAAGTGTTGATAGTTTTTTTGTTTGGTAGGAACTGAAATGGCTTGAGGCCTCTCATTCTCAAGTGTGGCCAGCTAAGACGTGTATGTTCTTTATTCAGATGCACATGATGGGCACGTGCTGGAGACATTATAATATGAGTGTTTGCAAGTGGTAGTATAATTTGTGGGGGCAACTCATCCATTATGAAGTGGGCTTTCTGGGTTAGTAGGATTTGCATGTGAGGAAGAATATGTTTTGTTTCGTGTTTTGTTAGTTGCCCATTTTGATTTGTATATTGATTTGTAGTTTTCTCTCGTGAATTAGATGACACGCTTGAGAATGCTTCCCAAAATTTCAGATTCCAACAATTAGCAGGATTCTCTGTTTGATGTTTCTCCTGTGTTGAATTGTCAATGCCAGTAAACAAATGTTTCTATTGGTTTAAACATGGAGCTTGATTTTTGAGGATTGTCAGTAGAAGTTTATTTACTTATTTTTTCTGTATATTTTCAAATGTTATCCCCTGGGCCGGGTGTGGTGGGGGGTCGCATTCCTCGAGGAAATGCTATTGTTTTCATGAAACTCAGTTTTTAAATTAGTGTGGTTCTATATGATGAAAATAGCGAAATATTTTTTTACATTTTGATTCTAGATATCTTCCTTGGATCTGCATCTATAGATTTAATGGAGCAAAGTTCGTTGGAATGTAAATCTGTGTAATGTTCCATTCCAGATAATTTTTTTTTTTTTGAATAGTAGCTGGATAGGATCATTGAGAGGTTGATAGCAGTAAACTTTCTTTAACTAAGCTGCAGACAGGTGTCAGTGGTACCGAGCTCTCTGCAGGAATAGTGGATTGTTTTTGCTGTGAACATTCTGAGTTCTTGCATGTGCAATGGTCCCAGAATTCAGAAGATAGATTCGTTTGTTTCGAGTTTTTGATATTTGGGGACCATGAATGGAAATCAATGGTTTTTGTTTGGCTACTAGCCCCTTACATCTTTGATATTATGAAATTAGTCCCTCAAATCATTGAAGTCGTTGTTATGTCTCTCTAAGGCTTCAATCTTGCTGCTGCTGCTACTCTTTGTTGGAGTAATTAAGTTGAAGCAACCTATAATCATTTGGGGATATAATGGCAACTTCAAGTTTTGAGAGGCTAGTTTTGAGACTACTTAAAAGAATTGAGACCTAGTAGCAGTTGCAATCATTTGAGGGACTATTTACGTAAAATAAATATGACTACTATGGGGAAAACCTTAAAACGAAAAAAAAACAAAAAACAAAAACAAAAACAAAAACATAGGGATACTGAAGGGAAAATAAAATGAAATTTTTTAAGGGTGACTTCAGATTGAACAGCAATAACATAACATGCGTCCGAAATTTTGGGTTGTTAGCTATATGAATCTTACTTTTCCATTTACTGGGTTGTTAGCTATATGAATCTTACTTTTCCATTTACTTTTGTTACAGTAGGATAATTAAGTTAATTGTAAACTGGCAAAAAAAATTCTTCATTCTTTTTATTTTTTTTTATTCTTTCTTAATGTTTCCTATCACTAAGGTGTACTTTCCTCCTAACTAGGGATAAACATCATCTCTAGTAATGTTTCAGTCTTGTTTTGAATTGTGATTAACTCAAGTAATTAGAAATACTTGTTAGCTCTCTAGTTTTCTTCTACAAAATTAATCATCGTCTGTTCCCATGCTCCAAGTCAAATTCTACTCCAGTATAAGAAGGAATTTACTTCATGAACTGCTGCATTACAATGTTAAAATTTTCCCTTTTATAGTTGGCAATAAATGAGACTGTAACTTATCAAATATAAGCAATCAGTATTTACATATAAGTAAAGTGTAGTCGTTGTGGTACAAAAGAATAGCCGCTGCAGTCAGAAAAAGCATGAGAAGAATGTGCAAATGAAGCTAGTTGATTATCACTGTTAGGAACAATACAGAACCATAGTTGACAGAAGAAGATAAATCCTTTTCAAGAACTTTTGAACAAACCATAAAATTTGAGACATAAAGGATAAATCCTACAAATGGACTGCACATAATATGGATGAGCATCTCCAAACCCCACCAATCTGTGGCAACAAAAAATCACAGACACGATACAATAATTTGGACCCACAAAATTAAACAACACCTATCTTTAACACCGGACCGCTGCACATCTTTCCACACCCGGAACATGTCTATATATATATATAAATGTGTATGCTTGGTACAAAGCAAAAAAAATGATGCTTGATAGTGAGGTGTTACGTTCCCCTCCACTCATTGATATCGGAGCCCACACTCATATGGGTTGGGGAGTTGTTGGGAATGACAATGAGTGGATGAGAATGAGATACTTCACTACCAAGCACCAAATTTGTGTTTGGTATCAAACATACCCATTTTTCTCATATATATATATATATATATATTCTTTTGTTAGAGAACGAATAGACAACTTGGAGAAGAATACACAGAAAATACAACCAAATCTCTACCTTAAACACTGCACACAATCGCACGAATAATCACAATTGATAAACCTCCATTTTGGACCTTGTTAAGGCCTAATCACTTGTGGAAGAAGACTTGTTTTGATTTTGTTGTTGGTAGACTTGTCTTAATCTCTCAATTTCCCTCTTCAGTGCTTCCTGATGAGCTAAATAAAAAAAGAAGAAGGGGGGGAAATATTGACAGCAATTAGTACAGATGATTGTGTGTGATATTTTTTACAATATGCAAACAATGCATCATGATTCAGGATGAACATAGGCATAATTCTGAATGTTCAAAGAACAAATATGTAAATCTTCTATCATGAAGAATAATTTGAGAAAGATTTCATCTTATCCAAAATCCTCACAGGTCTCTAATAATTCTTATACTTAAAGCAGTTGAATTAATAAAACAGTCCATAACTTGAAGTTTTTATTTTATAATGATGGGACTTTAATTAAGCTTGAGGTTCTCGCATCTACGATAGGGGATCTATAGACTAGAGAACAACCATTCAGCATATTGGATAAAAGCATTTAATTATTTGTTAAAACCTCCTTTTTTGTAATAATCTATCTTGAAATTGAATTCAGGACTGTGGGAGCCAGATCGAAACTACTAAACCTTCCATTTATAAAAATGGCAAGGCCAAATAATTATTTGGATGTGACTAACAGGAAATGAACTTTGAATTTTCATCCATTTTTGGCATTTCTCACTAATTTTTGTGGCAGGTTCCCTCAAATTGCTTGTTCCACTCACCGTCTTTGAAAATTCTGTCTTGCGCTAGCGCAGCAATCCTTTGCTTGAGATGGCTATTGCCGACGGTGAGCACCGACCGCTGGTGATCTAGGTACGCCACTCGAGGCGACAATGCCGATACCTCCGTCTTCACCAACCAAATAAAATCAAAACATCACAATGCCATTGAAAAAATATTAAAGGATATATTACTCATTTTTAATTTCTTGTCTAACATCAAAATTTTCAAATGTAATTACGTGAAGTTCTCTGAATTATGCAAAACTCAGACCAGTTCCAAATAATTAACCCGAACGCTAACTTTTTCATCTTGTTAATTACCTGCAATGTAGTTACGCTGCGTTCAAGCTCCGATATGTACTGCAACTTCCGCACCCTCGAGCGCTGCGCCGACTGCCTATTCGCTAATATCCTACAAAAATTACATAATTTGAATTCGGATATCATTTCTCTAATTATCATTTGCTTATGTTCTTGAAGTTTTTTTTTAAATTTAAATTCATTACCTCTTAACCCTTTTCGGATCAATCGGCTCCGCCTTCGCATCCGCCTGCGCTTCCCTCTTACATTCACTCTGCGGCCTCTTCGGCCTCCGGCCTCCTGCGACCCGACCGAAGGCGAAGGCATGAGCCGCCGGCGGGCTTTGGGAGCGCGCGCCCGCATCGTCGGCGAAACATTGACATGAGCTGTTCGCGCGTCGAGCCGGTGAACTCGTCGGCGTCGTCGTCTGCGAGCGCCCGCCGCGCGCATTGTCGTGCGGCGGGGTGGGGAAGGGCGACCGAGTCCGCCTGCGGAGCGGCGGTGGCGCCCGCGGCGGGCAGCGAGAACGTCGAGGAACTCGTCGACCCACGAGGGGTGGAGGGGGCGGCCTGGGTGGCCGCGGTTGGGAGCCAGGGTTATGGAGATTTGAGGGTCGGTTAGGGGGAGCTGCTGCATTGGTTTTTCTCGAGGCGGGATTGGATGGAGCTGGCGACTGGGGAGTATTTGTTTGTTTTTTGAATGTTGGTGATGGGGAGAGGGAGGCACATGAGAGACGACAGCTATCTACAGCTGTGGATTGTGGGGAAGAGGGAGGGAGTTGAGGTTTCTTTTTTTTAACGGTATTACAAAAAAGGTGGAGAGGTAGTTATATTTTAGGAAAAAAAGTTCTATACGGGGTCCTTTATAGGAACATGGAGAGATTTGGAAACATTTTGGTCTAGCTTGAATCTTGATGCGTACACATTTTCAGTGTAGTCGGACTGTATGTTAGTACTTATGGTGTTAATAGGACTTGTCATGATAGCGACTATATACACTAGGATTAGGGACTGATTCGAGATGGTCCGAAATCAAGAGGGCGTCGACCTGCACGGGACCCTATTAGATCTAGGTCGGATTCGGGAGCGGATCGGATCAAGCTTGGCCGCTCAAGTGCATGCTACTTGGGCCCCGGTAGGACTGGACTGAGCGTCCACGTGTCCGAATGTCGTAGTCCTAGGTTGGCCGGAGTAAAGACTGGACTGGGCAAGCACGGGATTGGCGGTCAAAGTCCGACCCATTCGCTACCCTTAATTGTAACGATAACAACTATATTTATATACAATCCGACTGCATATGCATCAGGATTCATACTAGGTCATGTGACCTTATCCGGTCCAGTGTCCGTATATGATTTTCTATGGCGGATATTGGGTAGGAAGATGTTGCGTGGTTGTTTTTAGTGGGTTTTAGCGGCTGGGATGGATTCACCGCTGCGGGTACCGCGCGTGAAGCTCATGATGAACGCGGATAGAGGAATCTGATTAATCTCGATCTCAAGTTGGGCGGCGCTGCAATTAAAGTCGGTGATCCGAGTAGCTGTTGAAGGTTTTGCGCCGACTTGGACTAACGTCTTCGCCTAAACTTCAATATTGCTTTCCCGCTTGAAAATTTGACGGTCGTTTGTCTTCCCAGGTTCCCAACATTGTTTTCCTCTTTTATGGTTCTTAATTCTCAGTAGTCAAATAATTAAGAAGAGAGAATAAGTGTAACGTCATACACGAGATGGAGATAAAACGATGTCTTCTTTGTAACATGTTGATCTGTAATACTCCCGGCCCAGAACCATCACTTGCCGGCGTGCGCAACGGCGCAGGCGTGATATAGTACTAGAGGTCCTGAATAGAATAGATATCGCAATGCCTAATAATTGAAAATCGGGAATAGACATATGCCATAGACACGGGTCAGCCTCTTGGTCTTATGAACCAATTAGACCCCTATGCCCTAACCGTCCGACCACCAACATGCGAGTAAGAATTACACAATTTATCAGGACCGTCCACATACGAGCGGGCGGTTCTGACTTTTGAATGGGGGCAAATTTTCAGTTTTGCCCTACAATTTTTTGTATCGAAGAGTCAAAACTGCCCCCCTCGCATGGAGACAGTTTTGAACGGATGGGGGTGGTAAATAGCTTAATGTTCAAAGTTGCTAAATATGCCTTCATATTGTGAATCTTGCGTAAATGTTCGGATGGGGCCACTTCTTTTTAACATAAAAAAATAGGATAAATAACTTAAACCCTCAATTTTAGTTCTCGCAAAATCGACCAAGATGAATCATGCGAAACATGGAAATCCTCAATAAACTTGAGCATAAGCATCCAGACCACAAAGTTTCCACGTTACATGTCTCCTATAAGCAACGCAATACGTATTTGTAGTTCTGTACTTAAGTTCGTACGTATATATATTTTTTGCCTTGTCGCCTCCGTATTATTAGCAAAGTCGAATTATGTCTTCCCATGTGCACTGTTCCCAAACCATTCTCTTTGCGACTCTCACATGCATGCAAGATGCAAGCCCTTTAAAAACTTAATTTACTACATATTCCATTAATTGCTTCTTCTTTCTATCGAAAGTCCCCATCATTTCTTGGCAATTTCTTGCTTGCTTTTTGAGCACGAGGGACGAAGGCACAACTTATGAATGTTTTCAAAAGTTTGCATGCAGAGCACAGAGATAATGAGGTTATGAAAGGAAAGGTGGTCTACGGGAAGGAATTTGGCAGAAAAATGGGTGGAAAGTTGTCAAGGTACTTGCGTAATAAAAGTACTTAATTATTTTTCAAATAATCAAATATTTACATATGGAATATCACCCCGTAGCTTATTTTTCAAGCAAAAACGGAAAATGCTACTATCTTGATCCACTAAAGCCTAGCCCATCAAAGACAAAAGGCCGAAACCCAGTCGTCGCACAAAAGAAAGACTTGGGTTGAGGGACTAATATGAAATTATGAAAAGATACGAGGGACTAGCATCTTAGATAAATCATACTCCCTTTAAAAGCACGAGTTCGGAAAATCTTTTTTAGACAAATATACTCCTTTATAGTTTGAACTACCTTATCTATAATCAAATTCTAATTTTCAATAGTCAATATTACCCTTCACTATTTTGAATGTTTTATTTATATCTTAATCTATCCTGATCATAATCATATCTTATCCTAATCCTATGTGAACCATGTTTAGCTTAACAATTTAAAAAAACTAATATTAATAAAATATATAAAACATAAAAATGATATTAGTTTGTTAAGATAAAGAAATTACAAGTAGATAACATATTATAATACATGAAGTATTGTAAAAAACCATAAAAAATTTTAAAATTACAGAAAAGATCCTGAAAAGTTCAAAATTATAAAACTCATCCAAATGTCTCAAAACTTAAAATAAAAAACATAAAATTAAAAAATTAACATCAGTTTGCAAAGAATTTAAAATTTACAGTTAACACCTCAATGTCTCAAAAATTATAGAAACACCCTTAAAAGTTTAAATTACAGACAAGCACATTAAAATTCTAAAATTTTAAAACTTACAAACAACACAGATGAATTCAAGAGATTACCATGATACACCTAAAATTTTTGACATTTAAATTTAAATTTTTTAATTAACACCCTCAATATCTCAAAAATTATAGAAACACCTTCAAAAGTTCAAATTATAAAAAGCCACCCTAAAATTCTAAAATTTGTAAATAAAATAAGATGAATTCAAGATATTACCCTTAGACACCTAAAAAGTTAAAATTTGTCAAAATTAACCTCAAAATTTTTAAAAAATTCCTTCAAAATTTAAAAATCGTAAAAAAACTCTAAATTTTCAAAAATTTTAACTAGCACATATCAAATTCGTCGATTGGTAGACCGCTAAAATTTAATATTTTTCAAAATTAATCTATAGTTTTAATAATTGCAAAAGACACCCTCAAAATTTTAGAGTTACAAGAAATATACTAACATTTAAAAAATTACCACCAACACATGAAACATAGAATTTACAACTACCAAACTTAAAAGTAAAACCCTCAAAGTTCAAAACTACAAAAATGGGCTAAAATTTTAAAACTTGACAAAGAAAAGTGTAATTGTTTGGTATTTTTCATATATATATATATTAAAATTTCTAATTTAGGGATTTACTATCCATTTTCAGCATCTAAGAATAGTCTAAGTTGATACTGGTAAACAAAAATAATAAGAATTGATTAAAAACATCCGGTTAATGGATAAAATTTTTAAAAATATTATAGATTAAAATTTATCGGCAGTATATAAATTAAAGTACTTTAATATAATTTTAGTAATAAGTTGGGGTAGCCAAAATACATTCGTAACATTAATTGATAGATGTTTAAATCCATAGAAATGATAAAACACTATAATATTATACCTTAGCATTAATTGATTTTAATTTAGAAACTTTAATCTTTGACGTTAATAATATTTATAGGGTAAAAGAATACAAGGAATTACATATGGAGAAACTATTAGAATATTTAGAGATAACCTTAAAAGAATTGAGTTATTTTCATTGCAAATGGGAAAGTGATGGAAATAAATCTAAAATTTAGAAAACATCAATGAATCACTTGAATTGGCATTAACATAAGACATATCTATTAATGAAGCACTGAATGAGTTACATTAAAAAATAATTTAATAACTTTATCCTAATCAAAGAAAAAATCTCCATGGAAGACATAAGAAAAATTAGTAAGTATTCATAAATTCCATATTGTGTTCTTCAAATTAAATATTAATGTTATAATCTAAGAGAAATTGGTAATGAATAATGCAGGTATTTAGTTTAGATCTTTATGGAAAATGACAGGGATAGAGCAAAGGTAATATTATTGAAATAACAGAAATTCTTATTGGATGCACATCAGAAGAATTCATTTTAGAGGAAAATAAAGAGATAGCTTCTAATTTATTTAAGTAATAAATTAGGAACACAAAGAATTTTATATATATGAAATTAATATTTATTCTCATTGAAATAGAAAAAAAATCAAAGTCTATATTTTGAGCAGTTTGTGTTGAACATCATAAGTACATTTGACTTCTTTGTAAAGTTAAATGAGATGATAAAAAATTAACGAGCCTAGGAAAGATAATAGCATAAAAAATACAAAATTAGCCTGATGTCACAATTGATGTAGATGATGAAGACAATACTCTAGAATTGTCCGAGAAATGATAAATGATAAACCTGAAGAAGGATTGATCTTAACTCAATAAAAAATAAAATAGAAGAAATAAAAACAATATTTTATGAATATTTTATAGAATAGTTTAATTATTTTGAGTGAAATTAGGAATCTTTAGAAGGGAGTTTCATGAATTTTTTTCAGTACTTTTATATTCTTATGTGGATATTTTTATCATATAAAAGTATACTAGAGTTAGCATTAATCTTTAATTTATATTTTTTTATGAAGTCTATCAATGATTAGGAATAAACTTCATATTCTCTTTTGCATCGTTTTAACATAGTTTAAATCAATCATTTTGCCATATTGGTTTTAAATATTCACCTTCCTTGTATAACACTATTTTAATATTTTTTACTTTGTAATGCTATACTTTCTCAAATAAAGCTTAGTTTCATATCGATCAAAAATAATATGAAAATTCAAATTATTTTTATATTATATTTGTTTTTTGTCAATTCAAATATCAACATGAAAATTTAAATTGGGTGTATCCCATTTAAACAAACATAAAAAAATAATCGGGATGTAAGAGTTTAAAGAAAAAAATGAGCACAAACTGCCAAAAATACTTAATCATGGTATTAAATCACGTGCATTGCATGTGTGTTAAAACTAGTCATTAATAAAAGTACCTATGTTTCAAACAGTCTTTCTAAATATTTATACATAATAATATCATTCCACAGCTTATTTTTCAAGCTAACCAGAAAATTCTACCATCACCTATAGCTTATTTTTCAAGCTAACTTCAAAATAAGGACTAGCCCATCAAAGATACAAGGCCCAAACCTAGTCACAAGAAAAACGCCCAGAGCATATCAGCATCCGCTGCCGCTAGGGGTGGAAGTGAACCAAATATTTAATAAACAGTTCGGCTAATATTCGTGCAGATATTCGGTCATATTCGATCCGACAGTTCATTTAACACTAAATAAATATTTTTCAGTATTCAGCTTATAAACGAATAGAATTTAACTAAATGTATATTCAATTCGACTGATTATTAACTATTTGATAACTTTTTATATGTTAATACTATTAATTAAACTTGTTGTAAATATTACCCATCAAAATTTTTTATTACAACTTCTACCCATATATAAATAAACAAGTTAAGGGACCTAGGATTTCACATGTCTTTTGGATCATGAATGAACGGTTCAGATTTGTACTTGGCATAATATAAATAGCTTTAACAAGATCTGATTCATCTGAAACCGCCGAACTCTCCCCCATCATCTCCGCCACAACTCCCTCATCATCTCCGCGCCTCCTCTACCTCCGCCGCCTCCAGTCACCGCCTCCAGCGCCCAGCGCCGCCAAACCCCCAGCCCGCAGCCCCATCCTCCTCTTCCCGAGCCTCCAGCTCTCCATCTTCGACCCCCTGTCCAGATCCGCCCGAACTCACCTCAGGCCGCCGCCTGACCGCCGCCGGCAGCCTCGAGATCCAGCGCCCAGCCGCCTCTCCCCTGACGTCAATGGTAAATCTAATAGTTATCGAACACGAGCACAAATAAACGAAGCGAATTCGAAGTCTAAATAGTATTCGTGTCGAATTCGAACACGAACACGAATAGTCCTAATTGAGCCGAATTCAAATTCGAATAAGACAATATTCGTTCAAATTCGCTTCGTTTCCCCTGCCGCCTTATCCCTCCCCGAGCTCTCATCTCAGTGTTTAGGGTTTATCTTTATCCCAAATTTCATTCTTCAATGGCTCTCTCAATCTGTAATCCCTCTCTATTCTCTCCTCACTCTCTCCATAGATTCAAGCTAAACCCTCTCCTCCTTCGTTTAGGCATCACATCGCGTAGATGGAGCCCTAGCTCGTCCAAATCCCGTAAGCGCGCATATTTTTCAGGTCAAATTCTTGATTTTCTTGTTATTTTTGTGTTTAATTCTTTATTGTGATGGTTTTTTTGCTTGTTTTTATGATCAGTAGTGGCGTCGGATGGTGAGGTTTTCACTTCCCCCGAGACTGCAAAGTCTTTCGATTTCGCTTCAGAGGAACGGATATATAACTGGTAATTCCTCGTTAGTTTTGAGTTCGAAATGGGTAATTTGTTCAGGTGATGAGTGAGATTTACTTTTAAACATTGGTTCCAGCTAATTTGTTTCCATGTCAGTTAATTTTAGAATTGTGAAACATTGATATGTAATGATTAGTCATTTATGCGTCAATATCTTTGGTTGAAGTGAGAGGAGTTTATCTGTTGATATGAGAACGATGACATGAATTATTCATAAACCAAACTTTAAATGACATTGGGAAGGATTGTTAGTTATGGACTTATGACCATATATTTTTTGACATACTAATACTTGTTCTTTACTATTAGGTGGGAGTCTCAAGGGTATTTTAAGCCTAGTTTTGATCGTGGAGGAGATCCTTTTGTTATACCCATGCCACCGCCTAATGTTACAGGTTCATTGCACATGGGACATGCAATGTTTGTGACCCTTGAGGTTTGATGTGATGAAATTCTAAGCCCGTTTCTTAGCTGAAGTATTCTACAAAAGCATTTGTTAATCCCAACACGTTGACGATATTATCTGCCTTGCAGTCCTAGGACATTTTGAATTTTTATCTTTTTTTTAAATATCTATGCATTTGTTGATTGTAGTTTTAGTTTTCAGAGTGAAAAGGGTTAAGTTGGTGATAGAGTTTTTCTTGTCCTTGATCATATTTTATTTGAAGTCAAAGTCTTGAATCTACGGTTTAGATGAATCCTAACCTGAGGTTAACGCCTTTAGCTTATCAATCAATTGTCCGTAATGTATCCCAAATATGAAATGAACTAGAATTTATAAGTCTTTATAAGACTTTTGCCGCAATGTCACATGTATAGTGAGATGATTTGAATGTTCAATGGGCCATCATTACATATGGGCAAAATGACTAGATTGGTATATTTTGTAAATGCTTGGTGACATGTTGGTATATTTTCTTTTAGTTTTGTCAGATTGGTATATTTTGTCGACTCCGGCGTCATATAGGCCTTAAGTTTGGCCGGAGTTACTGTTTCGACCAGTGCTGACGGGATTTTTTGCATACAATCCCCTCATTAAAACCCCATCATGCTCCTAACCCCCTCCTCCTCCTCCTCCTCCTCCTCCCCCTCTCTCTCCTCATCCTCTTCAATCTCCCCCTCTCCCTCCTTCTCATCATCCTCTTTCTCATTAAATTTGGGCTGGGATCACGGGCTTGATGATGAGGAACGCTAATAACATTTGAAGTTTTTACCTGCAACTCTGGAAGCACTCTGGAACCATTGTTTTAAAAAAACTCCGCCTAGTCCGCTTAGGCGTTCGTCTAGGCCTAGGCGGTACCTAGGCCGCCTAACTATCGTTTAACGTCCGCCTAGTCCGCTTAGGCGTTCGTCTAGGCCTAGGCGGTACCTAGGCCGCCTAACTATCGTTTAACGTCTAGGTGGTATTTAGGCTGCCCACCTAGATTTTACGAGCGTTTAGGGGAGCATTGCATGCTTACGTGGATTGCACCCTGTAGGCCTTGGTTACCTAGATTTTACGAGCGTTTAGGGGAGCATTGCATGCTTACGTGGATTGCACCCTGTAGGCCTTGGTTATGATTTTATGTGTTGTAGCCTACATGTCCTCCAAACTCCATTAACCTTTAAATATGAACACCTCCACTACCTCCTCCGACCTTCAACAAAACCTCATCGATCACCACTTATGAAGAAAGAAATCCGTCTAGACACCAGTCCGACATCTAAGCTTTCTATAACATTGATATTCACTATCAATTATTATAATTAAAAATAAAAAAAACATCTTAGGCTTTACCCTTGTTAATTATTATTTTGGCTATTTAGTATCTAAGTATGCATGATTTATTGTGGAACTAAAATTATTATATTTTTTAAAAATTTATATGAATTTAATACATATTTTTATCAATTATTATAATTAAATAATTTAAAAATAGTCGAACGCCTAGGCGCTGTCTAGGCGTACGTTCAGGGGTCTAGGCGCTAGGTACTCGCTCAAACGCCTAGTCTGCCTAGCGCCTTCTGTAACATTATCGAGCTCCCCGATATTTGTAACTACTAACAAGGTAAATAGTACTTCTTAAATATCTATTTAAGTTAGTTAACAATAGTAATTTAAACTTAAGAAGTGTAAGTTAACAGTAAACTTAAGTTTAAGTTTAAGTTTAAGCTAACAGTAAACTTAAGTTTAAGCTTAAGTTTAAGTTAATATTAAGTTTTTTGTTGATGGTAAACTTAAGTTTAAGTAAACAGTAAACTTAAGTTAACAATATTTTAGTTAACAGTAAACGTTTAAGTTTATTGTTAACTTAAACTTAACAGTAACTTATAAGTTAACAGTAATTTGAGTTGAGAATGAGTTTTTCACTGTTGAGATGAACTTATAATTTGAGTTGAGAAGTATAAACATACAAAGAGCTATTGTAATTGGTAAACCAAGCAATTTAGTTAATAATGTTGGTATTTTAGTATTTATGTATCTTTGATTGAGTATATATATTTATCTTCAAGTATCACAATTAAAAAAAACACCCAGAAACTACTTAAGCGCCCGCCTAGGCGATTAAACGCTGGGCGTCAAGTCTGACGCCTAGAAGCGCCCAGCGTTTAATGTAACATTGTCTGGAGCAACATAACACTCACAGCCCAAAGCATCGACTCGAGCAGGAAGCAATCCCCCTAATCCACAATCCCCCAATCTCGGTTCAAAACCCACATCCAAAATCACATTCCCTGGCTTCAACCTATGATGCAAGATCCTTGGGCTACACAAATACCTCAACCCTTTCACAATGCCAACTGCAATCCGATGTCTTGCATCCCATCCAAGGCTCAATTGACCAAACCTCACCCTCTTCATTGCATCCTCCAAGCTCCCACTAGCAATATAATCGTACACCAAAAACAACCGATCCTGTTCTCTAACATAGGCCCTTAAGCTTATCACATTCCGGTTCTTCACTCTGGCGAGCAATTCAACTCCCTTTGCTGAATTGAGTAATTGGGAGGATTGGGATTGGTTCAAGAGGGCAAGTTGGATGGTTTTGGGGGCAATTTGGGTGGAAAAGCTGATAGGGCCTTTGAGAATTGGGGTGCGGTTGGCAAAAAGGAGAAAGAGGATGATGAGGAGGGAGAGGGGGAGGAGGAGGAGGAGGGGTTAAGAGCATGATGGGGTTTTAATGAGAGGGTTTTAGGCTTAAAATATCCTTGAGACTCCCACCTAATAGTAAAGAACAAGTATTAGTATGTCAAAAAATATATGGTCATAAGTCCATAACTAACAATCCTTCCCAATGTCATTTAAAGTTTGGTTTATGAATAATTCATGTCATCGTTTTCATATCAAAAGATAAACTCCTCTCACTTCAACCAAAGAGATTGACGCATAAATGACTAATCATTACATATCAATGTTTCCCAATTCTAAAATTAACTGACATGGAAACAAATTAGCTGGAACCAATGTTTAAAAGTAAATCCCACTCATCACCTGAGCAAATTACCCATTTCGAACTCAAAACTAACGAGGAATTACCAGTTATATATCCGTTCCTCTGAAGCGAAATCGAAAGACTTTGCAGTCTCGGGGGAAGTGAAAACCTCACCATCCGACGCTACTACTGATCATAAAAACAAGCAAAAAAAACCATCGCAATAAAGAATTAAACACAAAAATAACAAGAAAATCAAGAATTTGACCTGAAAAAGATGTGCGTTTGCGGGATTTGGACGAGCTAGGGCTCCATCTACGCGATGCGATGCCTAAACGAAGGAGGAGAGGGTTTAGCTTGAATCTATGGAGAGAGTGAGGAGAGAATAGAGAGGGGTTACAGATTGAGAGAGCTATTGAAGAATGAAATTTGGGATAAAGATAAACCCTAAACATGCTCCTAACCCCCTCCTCCTCCTCCCCTACTCCCTCCTCATCCTCTTCAATCTCCCCCTCTCCCTCCTCATCATCATCCTCTTCCTCATTAAATTTGGGCTGGGATCACGGGCTTGATGATGAGGAACGCTAATAACATTTGAAGTTTTTACCTGCAACTCTGGAAGCACTCTGGAACCACTGTTTTAAAAAACCCCCGCCTAGTCCGCTTAGACGTTCGCCTAGGCCTAGGCGGTACCTAGGCCGCCTAACTAGCGTCTAACGTCTAGACGGTTTTTAGGCTGCCCACCTAGATTTTACGAGCGTTTAGGGGAGCATTGTATGTTTACGTGGATTGCACCCTGTAGGTCTTGGTTGTGATTTTATGTGTTGTAGCTTACATATCCTCCAAACTCCATTAACCTCCAAATATGAACACCTCCACTACCTCCTCCGACCTTCAACAAAACCTCATCGACCACCACTTAAATGAAGAAAGAAATCCGCCTAGACACCAGAAACCTCATCGACCACCACTTAAATGAAGAAAGAAATCCGCCTAGACACCAGTCCGACATCTAAGCTTTTTATAACATTGACATTCACTATCAATTATTATAATTAAAAATAAAAAAAAACATCTTAGGCTCTACCCTTGTTAATTATTATTTTGGCTATTTAGTATCTAAGTATGCATGATTTATTGTGGAACTAAAATTACTATATTTTTTTAAAAATTTATATGAATTTAATACATATTTTTATCAATTATTATAATTAAATAATTTAAAAAAATTTATATGAATTTAATACATATTTTTATCAATTATTATAATTAAATAATTTAAAAATAGTCGAACGCTTAGGCGCTGTCTAGGCGTACGTCCAGGGGTCTAGGCGCTAGGTGCTCGGTCAAACGCCTAGTCTGCCTAGCGCCTTCTGTAACATTGTCGAGCTCCCCCGATATCTGTAACTACTAACAAGGTAAATAGTACTTCTTAAATATCTATTTAAGTTAGTTAACAACAGTAATTTAAACTTAAGAAGTGTAAGTTAACAGTAAACTTAAGTTTAAGTTTAAGCTAACAGTAAACTTAAGTTTAAGTTAAAGTTAATATTAAGTTTTTTGTTGATGGTAAACTTAAGTTTAAGTAAATAGTAAACTTAAGTTTAAGTAAACAGTAAACTTAAGTTAACAATAATTTAGTTAACAGTAAACCTAAGTTTAAGTTTATTGTTAACTTAAACTTAACAGTAACTTATAAGTTAACAGTAATTTGAGTTGAGAATGAGTTTTTCACTGTTGAGATGAACTTATAATTTGAGTTGAGAAGTATAAACATACAAAGAGCTATTGTAATTGGTAAACCAAGCAATTTAGTTAATAGTGTTGGTATTTTAGTATTTATGCATCTTTGATTGAGTATATATATTTATCTTCAAGTATCACAATTAAAAAAACGTCTAGAAACTACTTAAGCGCCCGCCTAGACGACTAAGCGCTGGGCGTCAAGTCCGACGCCTAGAAGCGCCCAGCGTTTAATGTAACATTGTCTGGAGCAACATAACACTCACAGCCTAAAGCATCGACTCGAGCAGGAAGCAATCCCCCTAATCCACAATCCCTCAATCTCGGTTCAAAACCCACATCCAAAATCACATTCCCTGGCTTCAACCTATGATGCAAGATCCTTGGGCTACACTCAAAGTGCAAATACCTCAACCCTTTCACAATGCCAACTGCAATCCGATGTCTTGCATCCCATCCAAGGCTCAATTGACCTGACCTCACCCTCTTCATTGCATCCTCCAAGCTCCCACTAGCAATATAATCGTACACCAAAAACAACCGATCCTGTTCTCTAACATAGGCCCTTAAGCTCATCACATTTCGGTTCTTCACTATGGCGAGCAATTCAACTCCCTTTGCTGAATTGAGTAATTTGGAGGATTGTGGTTGGTTCAAGAGGGCAAGTTGGATGGTTTTGGGGGCAATTTGGGTGGAAAAGCTGATAGGGCCTTTGAGAATTGGGGTGCGGTTGACAAAAAGGAGAAAGAGGATGATGAGGAGGAGGGAGAGGGGGAGGAGGAGGAGGAGGGGTTAGGAGCATGATGGGGGTTTAATGAGGGGGTTTTATGCAAAAAATCCCATCAACATTGGCTGGAACAGTAACTCTGGCTAAACTTAAGGTCTATATGGCGTCGGAGTCGACAAAATATACCAATCTGATAAAACTAAAAGAAAATATACCAACATGTCACCAAGCCTCTGCAAAATATACCAATCTGGCCATTTTGCCATTACATATTTGACCAAGACGATGTTCATTTCAATCATGGATCAAAAACATTTTAACATGCTTATTCCAATAGTTTGACTTTGCTTATATGTGTACACTCACAAGCCATGCGACAAAAACATTTCTTGCATGCTTATTTCAATCTAGTTTTAATGTGCTTATATGTGTGTACACACAAGACATGCTTTTATGTAGCTATGGTCCTTATATGCATGCGTAACAATATCAGCCTCACGGTTCATAAAATTTTCACTTATATATGAATGTTTCAATAGTGCCTGGACACCTGCCAAGCGGCAAAGCCATCTAAGGTGTCTAGCATAGTAGCTAAGTTCTCATATGCACCCAGGGGATCCTTTTGTTTAATTGGCTCCACTCTGATTAATCCTAAATTCCTAATATTTTATTTCTTTTTGTTTTCTTTTCTCTCAAAAACCTTTGTTCTTTTATATTGTGTCACTCCAGTGAGGCAGGCGGACATGAATTTCTTTTCACTATAGCATAATTATGTGAATAGAACTGTTTGACTCAGATCAGAAGCAGTTGACTGCTTTAGAGTGAATATTCACTATGTGCTACTATTTGTCTGCTTTGGAATTTAGCCTTTTTCAATATTCTTTTCGTAAGGTTAAACATAATTTTTGGTAGTTTTTAACTTAGTATTACTTTGTCTGACTAGGACATAATGGTTAGATACTTTCGTATGAAGGGGAGGGCCACACTTTGGCTTCCTGGGACTGATCATGCTGGTATTGCAACTCAGGTTAGTTTCTAAAGTAGTCTAAACCTTTGCTACTTAAACATATACAAATCATAGTTGAGGTTGTGTATGTTCTTCGCGATGCTTGTTACCTTTCGCTTGCACATGTTCTTCTTTACATCTAATGAAAATTTAATACTATAATTCTGATACGTCCATGCATAAAATTCTGAGTTCTTTGAACATCATTTCTTGTGCTGTGGTTATTCCTCTGCTATATGGTTAAGGTCAACCTTGTTATCATCATTTAGAATCACCATCTAAGACTTTCTTCTTAAAAGTATGGTAAGTTCTAGGGCACCAACTCAAGTTTGACAAAGGGCCCACAAGAGTTTGATAAAATTTTATAATTGGCTAAGAAGCATGGTAAGTTCTGGAGAACCAACTCAAGTTTGACAAAGGGCCCACAAGAGTTTGATAAAATTTTATAATTGGCTAATGTCAAACCTCTAGACATTGGTGCCAAATTCCTATATCGGGAATTTGAATTACAGAGTGGCGTGAGGAATGACTGAAGAATATAGGTTTATGAATAACAAAAGAATAAGATAGTATACAATTTGTACCTCACACCCAGCAAATCACATGTTTAATAAAATACAAGTGGGCCTCACCCGACAAATCACATGCAACAAAACAAACTTTTACACTCTCTGGCTCCCTGAACTAAAGAAGAACAATCATATTTATAGGAATAGAATAAAATTCTTTAGACAAATATCAAATTCAATTATAAGTAAATTATCTAATCCTAACTAAAGTAAAATCCTAATACATTTTCCTGTTCTCAACTGCAAAATTTTTGAAATTGTCTTATCCTGCATCAGAGTGTTTCAAAGTAGAACCTTGATGGGCATTTTGTCAGATAGGTTAGCTGGGGGTGCCCGCTCTTTGTGGTCATACAATTTGAGCTCATGTATCTGCGGATACAACAAGAAGAATAGAAAAAAAGCCTCTATTCCAAAGTCTGTGGTCGGCTATATGAATGCTAACTTTCCATTTAGTTTGTTGAGGGCTTTCTTCTCCATTAAGTTAACCACTATCATATTTTTCTTAATTTCTTTCGATCGAGTTCTCTTAGGCCTACCAAATTTGGAGATTTTCCATATTTTCTTAGATCAGGTATCTTGATGAAAGCCAAGATGATACAGTGTATTTATCATAATTTGGGAGTCATGCTCATCTCTTGGGCACAAAACAAGCCAAAGAGTCAAAGAAAATTACAATTGAGACAGTTTACGTCAACCTATGGGCTTTGTACTAAGATTTGCTTAACTAAGATTAAATTAAACCATTTTCCAACTTCAGGCTGCCAGTACCAATTTATTTGTAGCGTTGAGACATATCAATTTATAGTCATTTTCTAATTGGATTGCTTCAGTTGGTGGTGGAAAAAATGCTTGCCTCAGAAGGCTTGAAAAGGACTGATTTGACTAGGGAAGAATTCACCAACAGAGTATGGGAGTGGAAAGAACAGTAAGCTCTTGTTTACTCATGCTTCTTGTTTCTTAACTGTTGCATTTTTTACTAGTCGTACTCAAAGAAACAGTTGTATTTCGTTGATTTGTTATTTAATTTAAATTCAACTTCAAACAGGCTTTGTTTGTTCATGTTTCTCTTTTCACATCCATTCCAGATCTGAGTTTCATAGGATAAGCAGTTATTGAAACTGTAAACAGTTTCATTTTACTTCCTTTCAGCTGAACTTGCTGTAATATCCATAGGATCATAAATCATTTAAGCACTTAATATATATTGCACAAGCAGGCATTTTGTTTCTCAAGTATTTCTTACTTTCAAGCAATTCCTCCACTTGCTTCTGTAGATTGGCAAGTGATTAATCATAACCATAAAACTCTGCATCTTTTAGACCCATACTGGGACACAATATAAGAGACAACTAGTTTTTCTAGTGGCATTGTAGGGCAGTTGGACCTTTTCCAGTTTCATTTGCACAGCAAAAGATACATGACTTGCTTACTTCATCATCAGCTAGAGTTTCAGTTGTGTATGTGAGGATACCATGAAATTCACATATTCAACAATGCTGGAAACTTTTGAGAAGCGGGATATGTAGTGGGGAATACTTTCTGTATGTAAGGCTTGTTTCTCAAGTTACAATTCTCTTGCTGCCTGAAAAATCTGCTTTTACCGACAACTGGTTCTATCATATATGCCCAGTAATAAGGATGTGACTCTTGTTAACTTAGTTCAAGGTTCCACAGCTTCTTATCGTTACATAGCTAAACTTTTTGCAAATGCATTCCATCTTTATTGATCATGCTTTCTTTTAAATTGATATAGGCGGAAACCATATCTCTGTGTGTGGGTGGGTGGGTGTTTTTTTTTGGAGAGGGGGGGGGGGGAGGGGGCGTGCGCGTGTGTGTTTGTAAATGTAAATGTTGAGCATGTTCACAAGCTGTAAACTAGTTGCATTACCTGTAACCAGCTTTTGCCATATTAATGTTTCCATATTGTAACTTGTATTTAATGAATTCGAAGGTGGAATTCCATATTGCAACTTTTGGGTGTGGGTGTGGGTGGGTGGGTGGGTTGAGCACATTCACAAGTTGTAAGCTAGTTTCCTTATGTGTAACCAGCTTTTGCCATATTAATTTCCATATTGCAACTTATATTTAATGAATTCTAAGGTGGATACCCATATTGCAAGTTTGCAACTTGTGTGTGCGCGCACACGCACACACCCCTTTGTAAATGTAAATGTTGAGCACATTCACAAGTTGTATAGTAGTTTCATTATTTGTAACCAGCTTTTGCCATATTAATATTTCCATATTGCAACTTGTATTTAATGAATTCTAAGGTGGAGTTCCATATTGCAACTTGTGTGTGCGCGGGCGCATGCTTGCGTCTTTGTAAATGTAAATGTTGATCACCTTCGTAAGTTGTAAACTAGTTTCATTACCTGTATCCAGCTTTTGCCATATTAGTATTTCCCTACTGCAACTTGTATTTAATGAATTCTAAGGCAGAATACTATCTTGCTTTCAGATATGGTGGAAGAATTACTAATCAGATAAAGAGACTGGGCGCGTCATGTGATTGGACTAAGGAACGTTTCACGCTTGATGATCAGCTAAGTCGTAAGAGAGTTGCCTACCTAACCAAATGCGACATGTGATGCTTTAGATACTCTTTGGATTGAGTTGCCTCCCTATACAAATGCCAAACGTGTATGAGAATATAAATACTTTTGGATTAAGTTTATAAAGTCAAAGTCCGCACATGATGTTTTACATAAATAATTGTTAGCTTAAACATTATTTTATTAAATAACTTTAATTCAGCACTTCAGTTATGTATCTGGCTATGTATAAGTCCCTACATCTGGATACCTCCCAAATTCAATCAAGGATTTGCCTTCTTATATACCTCTAACAAATTCTTGGCATATGCTCCTGGGTTTGAGGGTGCATGAGAGTGTGATAAAAAAGCTTGAGTAGTAAATATTTTTCTTTGTATATTGCATCATATAAATTCTGTTCTGCTGCCATGTCTATACGTTTATTCTTCTTATAAATGAAACTTGTATCAGGGTGTTGTACACAATTTCTTTATTTTGTTTGTGAATCCTGTTAAAAAAATTGATGTTGATGTTCAAGATATTGTCATCTCCCCGGCTTATAGTCTTAGTTTTCTGTTTTATCTGCTTCACAGTTCATAGATTTTTCTTTGGCCTAGACAAAGTGCAGTTAAATATATTTAAGTTTGATATCTTGTTTGTGTTAAGTCCTTTATGGATGTTGTTCGGGTATATATTCTTTTGATAGAGTTTTCCTATATGTTACTCTTATATTTTTTTTGTGGTCATTTACTTGTGAAAATATTCAAATTATGTAAGATATTTCTTTTCTTTTTATTATTTTAACTCATAAATGGTTGCAGGAGCTGTGATTGAGGCATTTGTTAGGCTTCATGAGAAAGGACTAATATATCAAGGTAATTATTTTTCCGAATGACTAATATTACCTTTTCTGGTTACGTTGCATTAAATTTATAGTATCATGCTTTCATGTGTTTTCTTTTTAAGAGATTCAATGTTAACCTCAGAAAAGTGCAGAGGCCACTGGTTACCAATTTGTTATTTCGATAGCATTATGTCTCCAAATGGTTAATTACTATATATGCTGGTAACATCTTACTTCTATCATTGTCTTTAAAAATTCATTTTAAATATGCTTGTGTGAGCTTTTTAGTTGCTTCTAGGGCTTGTAAGATCTTCAGAGGTTTGCACGACTTTACGAGGCTGCTAACAGTGTCACTTATTTTTGTATATAGAAGCTCTGAATAAATTGGGAAAAGGAAACAACTCCAAGTAAATATCAAAATTTCTCATGGTGGTTCAGTCAGAAAGCTTGCAGGGACAGAAAGTATAATTCTGCAGTTGTAATTAGCCGTCTCCTCTGACATTTTTGGTTTAACCCTTGAGAAGCTGGGAAAACTCTGCAAATCCAAAGATTTAAATCTTACAAGAAGTACATATCATACCAACTTTAGATAAGGTTCTCTCAACTGCACATTATCGGATCCATGGATCCGATAGCGTTAACCATATTAGTTGATGACTCCAACAATGGACGTGCACTATATGATCCTTAACATCATATTATCGTCTCATCCAAATTTCTTAAGTTCTTGTTTGGTTGCCTTTCAGCAGTACAATTTGTTGTTTCCCTATGTCGAGTTATGCAAAGCAACGAGGCTGTGACGTTTGAAAAAGAAGACAATGGAAATTCTTGGTTACTACTGGATGCAGCAATAGTTATTGTTCTAGATGCAACAGTAATTGTTTTCCAGAGCAGTTAAATCAATTTTACAATTCCTAATGCATATTCCATTCACTGTTTTGGAGAGATCAATTATTGAGCAATGTTTTCTGTTGTTCTGAGTCTTCTACCTGTTATTCCTCTGGTCGTGATAAGCATTGGGGTACTCTGATCAGCGAACAGGTATATCTTCTAGGGTCATGAATTAGCATATGTAGTATTTAAAAAACTAATTCTTTTGCCACCAAGTTGGAACATATACTCTAAAGCTACCACTAAACTCCTTTTTAATATCTTTCTAAGCCACTCTCTTTTGAGTATTATGCTAACACTAACATATGCTTGCTACCACTAACATATATGATATTATCTAACCATCTGAGAGTAGTATGCTGTATTAACTACGGATAAACTATGGATTTGACAGTATTCAGCATGTGTTTTGTAATCGTGTATTGACTTCTGTTTTCCTTCACGTGATGTCGCTCATAGTATTCTTTTATTTGGATCACTTATGGCAAATTTTTTCTTTAGGGTCTTATATGGTCAACTGGTCCCCAAACTTGCAAACTGCAGTATCTGACTTGGTATGTTCAGTTTTATTTGGTATTAAATTGTTTATATTACATTCCTGGATTGTTTCTGTTTTGTTGGTTTAATGATATCAGCACCACTTTGCACTGGGATGTGCCCCGTGGGTTTATATCCGACTTCCATGGGTGGATTTTATGTGCGTGGTTAACTTGGAAAATTAGTATTGGGTTAATTTCCTTGTATGTGAATTTATCCATTACTTGTCATTAGATATTTGCTCGCCCGCCACATCTTAAAAGGGAGCATGTTGATGTTTTTCGAAAAAGAGTTATTGTCATTTATCAATTAACATTATAAAACTAATTGTAGATGTCATTTGGAGCCATATTTATCCATTCTGCTGTTTTGGTCTTTGACATTTTAAGTTCTCCTCATACTTGTAAATTTCCTGCATGGACTGGGCTAACTAGAACTTGGAGTTGACATACTATCCTCTACACCATCATCATATAAACGTTATCTGTCAAAATGTTGACAGCTATTTAGGGGAAATATGAATGTAAAGGTGTCATTGATGAAACTTGTTTAATCGCTATCAACCTAAGGTCAACATTACAACAGGCACCTAACTCATGAGCTAGGAAACTGTGTAAAATAGTGAAAGAGAAGGGTTTAACATACAATTCAGGTGGCTAGTTGCCGGATAGGGTAAACTACTGCTCGCTACTGCATTTTAATTCTTGCATCTTGATAAGCAAGGCTTCAATATTGTCCTACTTTAAGAGTCAAAAAAAGGTAAGAATTATAAAATGTAGGTATATTGAAAAACATTCATCTCTTAGGTTAGGTGTGACAGGTGGTTGAAACAAAACACATTCTTTTAGTTGCCACTGTGTTCTTGTGTTACTTTTATTTGAGGAATTATATCTTTTGGAAGGTGAGTACAATTGATGTCATTTTTTCATGCCTCAATTTGCTAGACTGACAAAGTGTCAAATGCTTCATATTTGCGTAAATTTCAAGCACTTTCCTTGCTCGTTTTAGGAAGTGGAGTACTCTGAAGAGCCTGGTGCTTTGTATTACATCAAATATCGTGTTGCTGGCGGTTCAAGGTAATCTTGACTCCATGCATTTGCTTGTAGCTGAGAGCATTATTTGTATTCAAGTGTTCTAGTGAAATGGGAGCATTTTGATTTGACCTTTTGGATATCCTCTTTATATTTATTTATTCATTTCTTTTAATTTTTATGTATGCACTGACTTTTAATCCTTTCATAATGAGGTAACTTTCGTTCAGTTTTCTTTCATTCTTCAGTTTGAAAATTGTCTTATGCACTAGTGCACTTTCATGGATAATAAATAATAGGAATATTCCCCACCAATTTAGAGGCATAGCCTATACCCCCCCCCCCAACCAAAAAAAAAAGGAAAAAAGAAGTAATTCTAAAGCATTTTACAGATAATGTACTTGGCTGCATTTTTTAGTCATGGCATCTTTATTTTTTTAAAAGTTTGACGACTTTAAAAGCACATTTTTTAACCCAGCATTTCTTTTTAAAAGAATTTGTTAGTAGCACACTTGCAATTTATGTGTGTAAGTTTTTTCTACTCTAGCTACATGCGTTTCAGCCTAATCAATTGTTGAATCCTTTTCATCTTAAATCTTACATCTTTGCTTCTACTGAGGCATTTATAACCTCATCACTGATATTGTCGTTGATATTGCATTGATTTATGTTGCAGGAGTGACTTTTTGACAATTGCAACTACTCGTCCAGAGACATTATTTGGTGATACAGCCATTGCCGTTCATCCTGAGGTTAGACAATTTCTTGTCTACAAGAAGCAATTTCTCTACGATGCTATTTCACCTGAAATTCCTCCCTTCCTCCTTGTGTATTATAAGTACATTTAATAGGTTCCATCCCCTGAAATAGATACATCTGTAATAATGTATATTTTCATCATGTTGCAGGATGAACGCTATACTAAGTACATTGGTATGCAGGCAATTGTACCTCAGACATTTGGCCGCCATGTCCCCATAATTGCGGACAAAGTAAGTTTTCCATGTTTTTCTTGTTCTTGCTTTTTTTTCACTTACTGACTACGAAGTATGGCCGGTGAACACGTGGTTTGACCATTTTTTCTCCCCTCGTCCTTCTAGCACGGGTTTATATGAAACCAGCCACCCCTTAGTAATTTAATAAATTTAGAAAGAATTATCACAAAAGGTGATGGAATATAAACCCAAGCTCATTTCCATGCAGTCACTGTGAAGTAACTCTGGTTTGGGCCCATGAAAGGGCGTGCAAGTTGCACATGCACGTTAGTATAGGAAGTTATGTCTTAATTCTCATGACAACTTCGGAGTTTTTGTACTGTGGAATGGAATTTGTAAGAGTAGTCTTTTTCAGAATGGCTAGCCAATTTGCAATGTGTTTTCTCTCTTAATGTATGAGCTATATCATGAAAAACTGGACAAGGGTCCCACAAGTCTCTGTATAAGTGATTCACGAAACAAATAGTAGTAGAACTTGTTCCATCTAAGAAAAGCCAACAATTCTTGATACAACGAAATCTGTAATGGTACTCACCTAATCCCATAACGCACAAAGAATTGGCATTCAAATTTGCTAGTTTTTTTTTAAATAGAATACAAGGAATATTGTTTTGATCAAACCAAAGGGTCTTATCTTTACTCGTTGACATAATAGACAGCCAATCCATGATGATATTGTTCTCTTGATGTATGAACAGCAATGTTATGCTAGGTAAGAGACCATGTTGGTGTTCAGTGGCAGATCCATTTTTGTTTTGTTTTGTTTTTTTTGGGGGTGGGGGTGGGATTAGAACTAAAAATATAATATTAGAAAACTATAGTGTTGTAGTTTTGGGTTTCTAGTATTTAGTTTTCAGCTTTTAGTGTTTGGGCTTATACCAATTTGAGTTGATTTTTGAAAAGTTAAATTATTTTTTATTTTCCAATGAGCTAATTCTATTTGCTATTAACTTATAGTGTTAGGTTGGGTAATTGGGTTGGGGTGCAATTTGAAAATACTATAGGGGGCAAATTGGAAATATTACATGAACCTATATGTAATTTCTAAATTTCTAGGGGGGCAACTGCACCCCTGGACATCACCTGAATCTGCTCGTCGGTGTTGGTGGTGAGTGCGCTGAGTGTCAACATGGAGTTAACATAAGCAATCAGCAATACAAAAAAGAACCATCTACTTGGTTCTAATCTCTGTTTCGAGTTTGGTAAATGGACCTGGTTTTTCGGTCACCCTGTTGTTTCTGCCCTTTTCGTCCCTGAAATGTTAGGTCCTTTTGTTGATTTGAAAGCTGAAAGCTCGTCAGATATTGTGTGATAGAGGGTTGATGTATGATTATTTTTGGCTAAGTATCAAAAAAAAAAAAAAAAAAAACTTTGGACGATTATCAGATAACTCCTTAACTTTCAAAATATCTGAAAACCCCCCTTAACTTTACGGGCTATTAGAAAACCATCTTTAGCTTTAAGATTTTATCAAAAAATCCCCATTAACTTATAAGGTTTTATCAGAAGACCCCCTAACATCATTAACCACAATTTTTCACACGAGGGGAACTTGTTTGTTTGCCATTATTTCTTCGGTCAAGAATGGTTTCTTCTAGATTTCCTATCTCTGAAGTCCATTTGAATAAACTTCCCCCCAAAAGGCTTATATATATTGCTGTTTACATAAAATAGTGAGGAAAATATTCTGCTCCTTTATTTGAACAAATTTAGATTCATTTCTCTAATCCTTTTTGTACAACGGTTTCAAAGCGTGTTGCAATAGTAATGAAGTTTCCTCAACTATCCTTGTCGAAATAATGTCATATAAATAATGGAAAGGAGTTCTAGCATACTGTCCTAAGTGTAAGGTGTAATGTCCTGTAAGTTTCAGATGCAATGTTGGGTCAGCATCTGACACCGACTGCATGGGCATGGACAGTCCATCCATGTATAACTTGTCTAGTAACCATGTTTAGAACTCTAGTTCCTAGGTCTGGGTCTTCTATCTTGAGCTCACTTTATATAAGCAAATCGTTGTAAATGTATTTTGGCATGGGATATTTGTACAATAGATGATGATATTTATTCAGTTAACTTATAAGCTATGCTAATATATATTGGACTATTTTCTGGCTGAACATCAAATTCCACGGAATGGCTGCATCCCCAGAGATGAATTCCGTACAATTTATATTTAATATATATTTGTGTGGTATGCTATAGACAGCTTTAAATAAAATTTCTTACAATTGTGGGTTTTTTTTGCCCTTTATAAATATTGTTCTTATATTTAACTCTTTTAGCATTAATAATGTATAGCATGTGGATAAAGAATTTGGAACTGGAGTCTTGAAAATAAGTCCTGGGCACGACCACAATGATTATCATCTAGCTAGAAAACTGGGTCTGCCAATACTCAATGTCATGAACAAAGATGGGACCCTTAATGAGGTCGCTGGCTTGTACAGGTAAATTAATGTCTTCATCCAATTTGGTTGATACTATGTAATGTAATTCAGTTTCTTGTCAATTTGTCTTGTATTTGTTAATGCTATTCATCTCTCAGTGGGCTTGATCGATTTGAAGCTCGAAAGAAACTATGGTCAGATCTTGAAGAGACAGGTCTGGCAGTAAAAAAGGAGCCTTATAATTTACGTGTTCCCAGGTCGCAGCGTGGTGGTGAAGTGTGATAACATATTCCCTATTTTGTCTTGTTTGAAGTGCTTAAAAGAATTTCTGTGTTTCCAAATAGTAGCTTTTTTTTTTCCTTTTGTAATCAGATTATAGAACCACTGGTTAGTAAACAATGGTTTGTGACCATGGAACCACTGGCTGAGAAGGCCCTTCATGCAGTGGAGAAGCAACAGCTTATCATTTTACCTGAAAGGTTTGAAAAGGTAATGACTGTTATAAAACTTTAGTTTAGCTAGTTTACACCACCGATTGCATGAACCTTTTCTTTCATTGCTATCTTTCTTAGATATGAATCAAATGATACACACCTCTTATTTCTCATGTGGCTTGGTCTTCAATTTGGTGTGTGCTCTTGTATCAAATTTCTCCCGATGATTGCTACCTATTTGATAATTGAAAGACAAACATACAAATGAATTTCTTGATATTGTTTTTTGACTGCAGACATATAATCACTGGTTGACAAACATTAAAGACTGGTGTATAAGCAGACAATTGTGGTGGGGTCACCGAATACCGGTTTGGTACATTGTGGGTAAAGATTGTGAAGAGGACTATATTGTCGCAAGAAGTTCAGAAGAAGCACATCTAAAAGCCCGAGAAAAATATGGAAGATCAGTGGAAATATACCAAGATCCCGATGTTCTTGATACATGGTTTTCAAGGTTTGCACTTTGTAGATGTATTATAATATTGATTTTTTTCCTTGGTCATAGTCAATATGCAGAAAGTAAGCAGATATTCTCAAGTAGATATAACTCGACAATTCTTATATCTAATTTACTCCAGTCCTATGACTAAAGGATTTTATATATATATATATATATATATATATATATACTATATATTATATATAATACTAGAAGAGAAGAGAGAGAGAGAAGAGAGAGAGACGAAGAGAGAGAGATGGTAAATGTTTTGGTTACCCAAGCATAAATCTTTGTGCTTGGTAGTGAGTGGCCCACATCCCCTCCACCCTCATTCAAACATGGGGGACCACAATTCACATGGGTTTGAGAAGCTGCATGAGGATCTGCAGATCATTTAAATGAGTGGCACGGATTATGTCAACGCTCACTACCAAGTATAAATTTGTTGCTTAGACCAAAGCATACTCCATTATCTCTTCATATATAATGAATAATAAAATATGTATATACTATATATACGAGTATATATATATACTAATAGTCGCGACCGGAAAGAGAGAGGCAGTCATATGGGTATGCTTGTACCGAAGCACAAAAAAAAGTTGTGCTCGGATAGTGATGGTCACATCCCCCTCTCATCATTCAAGATATGGGACCAACATTCACATGGGTAAAAATAAGTGGATGCAGGATGATGACACATAACGTACCAAGCATACATTTTCTCATAGTATATACTATATCACATACTTCTATACCATAGTACAGTTACATATACTTATATATACACTATATGACCTTCAGGCTATACTAGTATATATAAGTACTCAATATACTAGAAAATTTTTCAAAACG